GGGGAACCCCCCCCCCCCCCCCCCGCGTGACATGCGGCCGGGGCGGGGTTTTGGGATTAGGATTAGCCACAAAGTAGCCCCGGGGGGGGGCTGGGGGGGGGGGGGGCGCCCCCCCCCCCCCCCCCCCAGTCCCAGTCTTGTACCTACCACCTAGTACCTAGCACCTAACCAAGTCGTCTCAGAAGATGGACCCTTATTACCAGAAGTGGGACGGACGGGTTAGGTACTCCTTCTCTTGTTACTCGACGCTAGTCCACGTAGAGTATAACGTTATTGGACAATCGAACCTAGTACAGAAGTACACAGATGTATTGTATGCTGTAATCTGATTGAACGTACGTTATACCTACAGTCGTTGTCCTCGACATGAGTAAAAAGAGAAAACATCCATTTATGATTGACAAGTCGCATAAATAGATACATTCATACGTGTAGGTAGAACATGAATATACGTAATTAAACTTACTAGATTGGTTTTTATTCAAATGTCAAATAGGTATCCCAGCTCAGCCTACAAGACTAGGTATATCAACAAACACACGTACATGTCCTTCTCCATAATATTCTATTAACGTTCAGAATGTTTGGCTGATGGATTGTCTTGGTTTGGGACTTAAATAACAATACTTGATCCTCATTGGCCTATAGGTTTGACATTCAATATAAAGGAAGGTTTAGGAAAGGAAATAGAAGAAAGGGATGTCAATAATATAGTATTATAATTTCACTTTCTAGAATTTGAAGGATTGTATGAGTTGATGCGACTTACCTGAGTATCATAAGACCGTCATTTTAATCATTTTAACCAATTCGGTTTATCGGCTCGGTCTCCACATGAGCCTGTAACCCCTGGCTTTAGTTAAAGTGACTCGTTACGAGAATACTTAGGTAGGTACTTGGAAGACCTCAGCCCTGATTCAACTGTTCCATTGATTGAAAAGTTAAATTATTTAAGCTTCCAGCTGCATCAGACGAAGCCAAATCCGTCATTTTAACGTCGCCTCCTATTTTTATGAATGAGAGCAAATTAGAATAAAAAGGTTAGGGATGGCAGTCACATCAGAGTTTAGAATAATCTTATGAACCCCATCCCTCGTGGCGATATCCCAATCTGATCCGTCCTGCGTTAGCTGATTCCCTAACAAAATCGACTAACAAGAATGGCCTAATCATCCTATGTACACATCCTTTACCCCTTAGTCACATCCTCCTCCTACTCCTCCTTTCTCCTCAGCGGCTATAATAAAAGGTACGGACTCCCACCCGACAACTCAGCCAGTAACATGTCTAAGTAGGCTATGAGCCTAACAACATTTACATACAACACGATTCATGCGTTGCTCTCGGAAACATTATGCCTTCGTCTTAGTCTATTTTTCATATGCTAATTTGCAAACAACCAGTTTTGCATATGAACATTCACATTACATTGCTTACAGCCAACGCCAAAATTAAACCAACGTTACGCCATCTTCTATACATGTATATGTATAAGAGGTATACATACGATATGATACGTACAAGGAACGTGGTGGAATTCGTGCTACGTGCAAAGTCTTGGTACCTTGCTTAGAGGCGGTCTAGCCCAGTAGCAAATGATCGGCACTACAAAGAGCCCCATCAATGCCATTCTCCGCATACCATGGCATTCAGTGGCTTCGTTGGAATCTCTCCCAGCTGCACCAACCCGAGAAGAACACCTATTGCCATTATTCTGTCACACACGGTAGACCGATGGAACAATCGCAAGCTCCCAAAGCTCTCAGTAGCGTCTGCCGGCTTGGCCAAGTTAAGTAAAGCTCCAAAAAGCTCACCCTATACCCTCAACTTGAGATTCGAACGTCTTATTTCTCTATACGGATATACCTTGATTATTCTACTTGCAGTCAGGTTTTTCTTCTTCCTTGTTTGCTCGTTGTCGATCATTTGACATTGGATTTTCTTTAATTATTCTCCAGTGGCGGATTTTTCCGGTATCCTGCCAGTCTGCCCTGCCTGCGCAGCCACGCAATTGCAATCCCAGCGTTGATCTGATTTAACGGACAAGGGGGCCCCAGGACGAGTCAGGGCCGAATCAAGCGCGGTACCTAAAAGGGCCGCTAAAACGTGTTTCAAGTTGAACATGGTCTGCTCTCATTCAGCCACGAAACGATTCAGACAGATTACCCATTCAGATCGAATTCTTCGTACCTTTTCAAGGAATTAAATGGGTTTACCTTGCTGACATCACGCTACTTATTCGTCAGTCTTTCTAGAAGCACACGTAAGCGCGTGACTTACAGACGTGTCTAGACGATGCGGTATTAAGCTTCTTTTCCTTTTATTTCTAAGATTTTGATGTTCATTTACTAGTTTCCGACTATATTTCGTTATGAAACTGGAAAGCTTTCGGTCGATTTCCTCATATTCCCGTTGTAGTATCTGCCCGCGAGCTGGGGTATGGGGATTCTACCCCCTGAGCTGATCCCCACCAATCCCGAAAGTAACATGTTTGCCATGAAACCCATACACAATATTATATCTAAAGAGAAAAAAATTAAGACATCAGCAGTATTGAGTTTTATCATCACATAGTTCATCCAATCCTTTCTTACCCGAGTACCAATGGATCGCGTCAACCCAAAATTTCCATGCTAACATTGATCAAGGGTCCGTAAGGCCAACATATTACGCATGGGATGATTATGTATTATCAAGATTTTTAATTGATGAGATTAGCGGCGGATCGCTTACAACTCATCGCGCCGTTTCAAGATGTGGAATCCTGTATCGCCGCCCACTTAAGACTCCCAAACGACAATAAATCCAACCCTTGAAAGACATAACAGAGTCGCGCTTGTATCGAGCCCGCCTTACAGACTCTATTGAATCCATGAAGCTAAGAAGTCGGTGGTACTATCTAATGCCAGATCTAAACTACTCTTATGATGTTTAGCAGATTCGGGCAAATGTAGGTCGCAAATGTGATCTTGTATTACCCCTCCATCCAATGATACCCAAGTATTTAAATTGCTTTCGTGCAATTCAGTACATTTTAGAAGGCATCTTGATCACCAAGGACAATAGTACCCGCGTGCTCATTGTGGCCTACTCATGTTAATACCAATGCCCTGCCCACGAACATACCTCTTCGATCCTTCTTTGAACCTCATCCGGGTAGCATTCAAACCAGCGATAAGCTGCTCTCGCATACAGTCTACATGCCTAGGTGAGTGCCTGGAGCTAACTACGTCTTGTGCTAGACTGTGCAGGGCGGTACTCTAATTTCGTTCCTAACATGTCCTCCCAGTCATTTATTTTATGTTCCTTGAGCAGCGGCACATATGGCGATCTCGGGATTCTGCCTTTTATTAAAATAATGTTTTTGGATAATTTTCTGGCCATCTTGACACTGGGAGTTTGAATTATCCAGCTCGTCGTGTTGCCTTCAACTCGGTTGTTTTCGCATTCGATTAAAAAATCACGCTCGTTTCCATCGTATATTGTTAGGATTTCCGAGTCGGGCTGCGTCGCCTGCCATTTTTTGATCGATGTCAGATGACACTCTTTCGTATCGTTGTTTTCATAGGAGAAACGAAGCCGTCGGTTATCCTCACGGTTATCCTCTCGTGTTATTGTAAGCTTAATTGATGTCGGGGCTGGGGCCGCCATAGTAATGGGTTGACCCGTTGCCTTGTAAATTGGATCGTACTGTGGTGATGTCCTAGGAAATTCGCTAACTAGGTACCCGCTTTGCTTGCAGATTATATAGCTAGCTAGGTATATATAATCCAAGCCCTTCAGCTAGCCACATGCATCTCAATGTGGTAGGCGGGCCACAGCCTGCCTCGCATGGTGACATTCCCCCTCTTAAAAGAAAATACTAATTGTGCGCCTTCCTGGGGACTTAATGCTCTTAGAGCATTAGGTTATTCTAACAATTATCCCTATATATATCGACATTATAAAATATAGCTAGATACTGCTAAATTTACAAATATGGCTGACATTGCTCGAAACGCAGCGGAACAAAGGACTGGAATGGCTAGTTGCGAGTCGTGGAAAAAGGCATACATGCAACACCATGAAAATCTAGTTACACTTGTCTCGCCGAGATGGGCTATAGGAGACTTTATAATCCGGCTGGTATATAAAATGTATGGGAAAACACCATCGGTACCAGGCAGAGGATTGGGGTTTCGCGCTAGCTTCGCCGAAATGCAAAGGATATATATGAAAGCTCTACAGATCGACCTTATTGATATCGGTGTACAGCTGAGATTTGACCAGACGAGACAGAACACAGTGAATTGGGACGCCACGCGGGGGAGGTTAAATGATATGGAATCAAAGCTGAAGATGTACAGTATGTATCTACCCTGAGTAATAGGTAAAGCGTCGCTAAGAGATGGATTACAGTACAAGCTGTTCGCGACTACGAATACATGACTGATGCTACGCAAAAACGATACGATATGTTCATCGCCTCATCCGAGCGATACCAAGACGGCGTGCACCTGGTCGCCTCGATAGTCAAGGCCGAAAAAAGAATTAAAGATTTCAAAGAAATAGAACAGAAACATCCATTACCTACTGGTCCTTGGGAGAAAGACCCCCAAGACGGAGAACCCGTTCCTATCGGAGGGACTCGGAACGCCGGTGTCCAAAGTCTGTTGCGACGGGCGCTCATAGTGCGGATCGGTCTAGCATTACTAGGCTCCGCATTCTTGGTTGGACCAATATGGTAAAGAGGGACCTAATCTTTGACTTGGGGGCTTCAACGGTAGCTATAACAATCTTCGGGTTACTCCTTGCGCTCGTTGTCGATAAAGGAGACCAGGTCTTTGCGGGTACACTTGCTTATGCAGCTGTACTTATGGTATTTGTAGGGGTTATCATTCAGCAGGAACCGCCTAATTAGACAATACCTATATTCTTTCGTGGCGTTGTTACTACAAGTATCACGGCCTACTTGTCTATATTAGACGGACCCGGGGTGATGGTGCAATCGCTTCCAACCATTAGAATTTATTATTGCAAATTCATTTGAGAGGATCTTACTTTGGCAGCTTTTGATTGCTCTTTTTGTCCCAATGGCCGAGTACATGGAAGAAAATGCACAGGACCCCTGACCCCTTTCGTTTCAAAATATTCACCCCTACGGTCGACACATCCAGCTTGAATCGCCGATCAAATAGAGACAGGTTACCAAGCTTCAATTCAGGTTAGAAGCTAACCCCTGTAAATGTTTCTGCATACTGCTGTACTCCGTCGCCTATTCGAATGTTATATTACAGGGGTTACCGCCTCTGAGCTGGCAGTGAGCAACGCGTCTTCAAGCCACTGACTCAATAACTACCTTATTGTCTGCGTGGGGCACAGGTCTAATAATGCCCACAACCTATCTTCTTGGACGTGTTTCAAATGAAACAAATGCCCAATGAGCGGAGTTATAGCAGTTATAGCAGTTATAGCTGCTGAAAGTACCCCCGGATCAGCCACCGACATATGTGGCCAGCACTAAAGTCGGGGGTTTGAAAATACGCCGACGGGACGCACGGTTGGTGGGTAATGGGTACCCGATCTAGTATCTTACCTATAATCCCAGGGCTTATCGTCATTCATCATTTCATTTAACAGCAATGCCAAGTTATGTATGGAAGAGGTAGATGTCGCCATTAACCTGTTCGATATACCACTTAACAGTAGATCCCATAATCTTAGCAACGCTTCAAAACAAGATCACAAATGCGACGTGGCCAGCAATGCAGCCAGTAACGACATTTTTTTTCCGGAACCTGCGTACGAACCACTCCTGACCGCTTCAACCCCTGAATCTGCCGTTCAGCTGTCAGACCTGACGATCATACGGACTTCATCATGAGTCTCATCAACCCAATTGATTAAATGCATGAATATAAAGGGTTGCTTGCTTACTCACTACCGATGATGCCGACAATGCTTGTTAATATCTGGATATTTATTGACTTCTCCCTTACACAAGGCACGTTTCGCAATCGCATATAGAATCACATCCGAAAGCGGCAATTATTATAGTACTCGGCCATCGTGGTACTGGGTGTTTGGACGATACACTTCAGATTTTCAGCTTTCGCAGAGTCTTGCCTTATATTGAACATCGGACTTTGCCAGATGCGCATTTGCGTAGCTGTGTAACCTAAGGCTAGCAGATTCTGTCTTGAAACACCCTCGCTTGAACCACATCTATCTCCAGGCGCTGGCATCGTATTATAATGAGTCAAATATTCGCATGAAGCTAATGTTTGATCTTAAATGTAGCTACCCAGAAGCTGAAAAGCACATTATCGCCAAGCCTAGCCCAAGTATGAAGGACATCGCATATGACTCCTTACATCAACACAATAAGAACAGCTCCCAAACGTGTAACCACGGCAGTGTAACGCCTGCGGGCTTCCGTATGGTGGCGGATAGGGGTCTTGAACGAATGCCTCTAGGCGACGGGAGGATGCGAACGCCGGCTGGCGAGATATCATAGGCAACCTACTTGCGTCTTTCGCATGGCCAGGACGCAAGTAGGAAAGCGATAAATGAACAACAAATTCCCGAGAAGACGGTTAGCTGCTGTGCTTCTACCTGCTATAGTTGTTGGAGCAACTGCTGCGTTCGTACTACACACCAGTGCAGTACCGGAGGATTATGTTGTGGTGTACAGCGCATGCGTCTTTTCGTCCTCCTTACGTCTTCCAACGCCCTTCACCTTCTATTTCCTATTTTATCATAACAATGTCGCACATATATATGAATATGTACACAAGAACGGTTGCTAGCAGCTAGGATTAGGTTCTCTGCTCCTGCGGGTTTGCGTGCTTCTTGGCAAATTACACAGATTGTCGAAATTCTATCAATAATAAAGTGATTTCCTAGGAAGGTGACCGAGAATAGTTGCAGCGCAATATGATAGATGCTATTTTGGTGAGATAACACGGTTAGCTTGGAGAAAAGAGGGTATGTATTCGTTTTGCGCCGACAGTTACACACAAGATTCATAGACCAATGATACTCTATAATCTATTACAAAGCTCCAAATCTATCTAGAGGAAAGTGTATAGAAACAGGAACAGGTTATAGGATTCGTCTGTAATTCGGGGGAATGGTCTCTATTGAACGCATGTCATGCCTCGTACACGAAGTAGTTCTAATTCATTTTCTGTGTCACTTTAAACTACCAACCTTGCTTCCTCACAAGGGTAACCGAAACACGTTGAATCGATTCAGTTTACCCCGTTTCTTCTATCCCCTTACCATTTCGACCACTTCTATATTCTTATCTTAATTAGGACTCTTCGGTTCCCGTACCATAATAGTTAATAAAGCAGTTCCTTCCATACCAGCCCTCGTAATATCAAATTCCAAGTGATCAACCGGCTCAAAACCGAGACGACGGTATAGTGGCACAGCTAATGGTAACGCTTCCAGATAAGCAGAGACCTTTTCAGTGTCGGCGATGGTGAGGACACTGTTCGCGAGGGCCGCTCCGATACCTCGGCCGTGGTAGGCTGGATCCGTGCATATTACGGAAAGGACTGTTTTTTGTGAGCGATATGTACGCGAAAATAGTACCATGTAAAAATAGGGGATCATCCATATACCTAATTTCTCATCCGTATTCCACTTCTTCCCCATCGTCTTCAACGCCTCGAAAAACTCCTGGTATAGTGCCTCATCCGCACCCTTCGGGGCCTCTAGGATTGGTGGCGGCGCTTTATTCTCCTCTTTCTCCCTCCCCTCACTTTTTGCGGTTTGTTCTACAACTTTCCCTTCATTATCATATGTCACGAATCCGTGCTTCAACCCCTTCATAGACTTCGGCGGGTCCCACTTCGCGAACGCGACGGGTTTTCCCGTAGTTTCATCGACGACTTTGAATTGCTGCGTATTTGGATCTGCGAAGCGGCTACGGATGCGAGTAGTATGCCATGTCTGCATTACCTCGAGAGATGGCGACCACCAATACGTAAAGGGGGAACCGGCGGGGAAAGCCTTCGTAACTTGAATCGTTGTTAATATTTATGTGCACGTCATGACTGTATATATAGAGATAAAATGAAACGAGATAAGAAAGACTTACTACAATCTAATATTAGTAAACCCAAAACATAAAAATTATAAGATGCAGATACACAAACTCACCAAACATCCACCATACTCGGAACATCCCCCGGCGTACACCGGTATATCGCAAAACCTGGCGGGAGTAAACTCGTGGGGTGCGGAAACGGAAGCGTCATCTTGAACTGCGACTTGAAACCTCTTAAGTGAAATTGTAGGTTTTGGAGTTCTGGTTAATATGGGATGAGAACGCATTTATATAATTATTAATTTTATACCCTGTTGTATGATAATGGGCATCAAATACTGAAATAATTTGGTTGTTGGTGGCTGTTTTACACAGTCGCGCCTTTTAGTCAAGAGTCCGGGGGAAATTGACTAGATCGGAGGCCGTTCCATACTGGACTATAACTGGTAACTAGCTGGGGACCTAGTGGATCATGCCTATAACGTATCCCTGACATCCGTGGGGGATGCAGAAACTAACAGTGCAGGTAGTTAATATTGACATTTCCAAATTCATGGTACCTATGTAATTGATGAGTTGGTCATTCATATTTAATAGTCTAAGTGGTATTTGCAGGGGCATATATCCGATCTAGGTACCTAGTAGATAGTGTTACATGTATAACATCTGACAAGCGTCTCTGTACAAGGTGATCAGATTCCGAGTGTGCTGTCTTTTTCATTAGGTGCCAAATCAAGGTCATGCTCGTCCGCATCGGCCTCAGCATCCTTGAAGAAATCTTCTTCACCCAAAATTTGGTTCTCTAGATTCGAGTACACCCGTGACATAGACTTGATGGCTCGGACCACTTGTACGCAATGTCTTTCTATAGACCCCTTTTGTTTAGCCGCATCGGCGGAGAAAGGGGAAACCCGATCAAGCTCCATATAGCCTCGTGCGAGATGATATAGTGTGGTAGCGATCGGTCGAAGATGCCGGGGAGTGGATCCCATACGGCGCGCGTCAAGAGATAGATTGCCCTGGAGGGTCTCTCTGGCACGCGCTACGTACCAACCAGTCCAATTTGGCATAAGCATCTTTTCGCATGTCCTAAATGACTCTTCAAATTTCTTCATCTTGACAAGAACTTGAACGTAATAGTTCCAATTCTTGCTATCTATCTCGAATCCTGCCTCTCGAATCTCTCGTACTAGACTGATGAGACCGTTGGCATCTCCCTTGATTAATAGCATTTTCTGCATGACCGCTAGACCATCTGATAGGACATAACGGTATCTAGCTGAGACTTTCGGCGTATGCGGCAAACCCTCGGTGTAGTCGGCTGACTTACTCTCTTTCTTTGCAGTTTCAAAGAGGACGTTCCACGTCTCGCTAACCTCATCGTATTTCTTTTCGTAAAGATTCGCGAGCATGACAGAATTGAGCATTCTCACAGGTAGAACGTTATCCGATTCTTGTCGACCTTTAAAGAGATATACGTATAGATCGGCGAGCTCACGGGCTCGGAAAAAGTCTTTTAGTTGAGTCAACATTTCAACCATAGTACTAAAATGATATTTTTCAATGCCCTGTCCTAATAGCTCGCCCGCCGAACTGGGCCTAGGAAGCGGCGGTGATAGCCTTTTTAGTACGTTTCGATCTTCTAGGCCATATATATTGGTGAATGAACGGAACGCTTTGCCTACCCATTCCGTTGCGGTCGCACGCGATCGTAATTGTGGAGCAAATTTCTTCCATTGAGCAAGTGCCTGTGTCAGTCGGAATAGACTGTGAGATGATGTGGGGAACCCTTCATCTTGCATCAACTTGTGAAGGCGACGGACTGGTCCAGGCTCTCCAGTTATGAGTAAAGCACTCATGACGATGTGAAAATGCTCGGCGGTGGCTTCGAAAACTTTGTCCTTCAGTGCTACTGCAAGCAAGCTAAGAGCATGACTTGACTGCCGGCATAAGGCCAGGCCTCGGAGCAACTGTAAGTAAGTAAATGAGTCGTAAGGAACGCCCTTTTCGGCCATGACGTCGAGAATTCTATTGATGTTGCCAAGATCTCGACGAGTGGCATGGTACGATAGCAGGTTATTCCATATCCGAGTTTCGAAAATTCCTTTTTTAACTGCGTTAAGGCAGAGGTCCTCAGCTGCCTTTGGGTGGTCATTACGACAATACGCATCGATGAGGCTGCCAAATATGGCGCTGGATGCTGGTATCTGGTTGCGTCGACTTTGTCGATATATGTCGGTTGCGAGCCCTAAATCTCCTCTATCACCGGCCATTTGCATCATCGTCCCAAAACTATATGCGTCTGATTTCCCCACCGCAACAATCCCTTCAAAAACAGATATGGCGCCTTCATAGTCGCCGGCCTTCACATAGGCATTGAGGAGAATGTTCCAGCAGTAAGTGGTTGGTTCAATGCGAAATTTCCACCGTATATCGTCGAAAATGCGCTGCGCCTCTGCAAATTCACCTTGAACGGCATGAACCTGAAGTAAATGCGCAAATATGTCGTCAGCTTGAAATTGTGAAACATACGGGTTATCACGGTGTTGTTCCATAAGCCCGATCCAAAGCTCGTAGACTCTACCCACATCTCCTCGAGCTGCGTAGAATGACAAATGTTTCTGAAATGCTTTATGAGGAGGAATACCATGAAAATTATACCAATCATTCCATACCTCCTGAAGCCCGTCGTATTTTAGTGACATTGGTGCGCGCAGGCGTTTGTACGCCTGGAACATTTCATGAAGGACATCATGGCTGGGTCTGCTCCCTGGTAAGTCGCGATAGGCCGCATACACTTCAATCGCGAGATTTTGCTTGCCCCTGGAGGTGGTTCCGCACAGAAACTCTTCAAAGGCGTAGGAATCTTTCGTTAAATCGAGAAGAGGAATTACTAGATCGTCGGCACACGAGGGAAGCGCTCTTCGAACTAAAATCCTCTGGAGGGCATCAAGCGCTTCCCGACCAAGCTCCCCGCCCTCGGGATCTTCTAATTCCACTCGCTCACGCGTCTCGAATTCAAGAGCTTTTGTAGCCAGTCCAGGTACTAGAGCAACCTGTTTCAATTGCGATGTAATACCTGCGAAATCCCATCGTGCAGCCATAGCAGGGTAATGCTTCCATAACCTTTTTAACGATTCTGGTGTAGAAGATCGCAAGGCGCTAGCAAGTATCAAATCCAAGGCGTCGACTAGGAAAAGTTCATCGAGATAACCATACTCTAGCCCTTTAACAAATACCTCAAGCGCTCGTTCGACATTCTGTAGATTAATTTCGGCGGTAACACCCGCGACGAAAACTTGGTTCGTCCATTGGGACGAAGGCAACTTATGAAATAGCTCCGAGATCTTCCACGAATCGGAAATTCGACCACTTTGCGCAAGATAAACTAAAACTTGGTGTATGTGAACTGCTTGCGACGATTCATCCAACTCTGTATAATGATACCAGACATCTTCGGGGTCGTCACTGGTACTGTTTAGTAGAATTTTGAGCGTCACAGAATGGTGGCCATCCGTGGTCGAATGATTCGAGCCGTTGACGGTGGTATTGGACCCCCCCGGTATCTCGTGTATTTGTGTATCAACCGCCTTAGCAGGATCCTCTCTAACGGTATTCGATATCTTATCCGTTTCCTTCACATCGACATCTTCTAGATCCGTGGCGCCGGATCCACCGGTAGCATTGCTGCTACTATGTTTGTGTGACTTCTGGCCGCTAGCTACGTTGGTTGTTTTGTTGTCGGCTTGCTTTTTACGACGAGAGGATGAGGAGGCATATAGACAAGGCGAAGGCTTTTCGAAGCGCTGTCTATGAACGAGACTGTTAGAACAGCTAGATGATGCGAGATTGGTTCGAGTTAATCGACGTCCGAGCGCAATAGCCCCTCTTGGGTATAGGAAGTCGAGAAGGAATGTCGAAGCGTTTAGAGTCGAGCTTTGGGTCTGGTTAGAGGCCGAGCTAGGAATATCCAAGGTACCGTGCATTAAAGCTTGCCAAGTGGCGGTAAGCTCAAGACCAGCAGCGCCATGCTGCCAAAAGGTATTATGAAGCTGTCTCGTACTTCGTAAGGACTGTGTTGCGCCAGGAACTACTCGCTGGAAGCCGCAGGGTTCCAAACTGGCGGCTGTCTTCTCGAGCATCGGGGGAGTACGCCGTATACGACCACACCTCACATAACAATCGATGGTTCGAAACGGCGACGATTTGCCTGGTTATTCGAAGTTTCAAGACATGCTTTGAACTAGTAGCGAGATATGTGAGTATAAGTAAAAGCTTGTTGATCTTTCGGAATACTTGAAGAAGACGTGTGAATAATGGAGTACGACCTACTCGTAAAAGTTCTAAATCTAGGTAGTTCATATGTAATTAAGAAGGAGGTGATTTAGCAGAAATATATACACCATATTAACCTCCTTACGTTATGACGAGCGAGGCCCGTTGGGGGGACAATATCGTTTGCACTGTTCAAAGAGAGAAAAGACGGCGATGATGAATTGAAGCATAGATTTTCTCGGCGTTCTGGCGTATCTTAAGAAAAAAAAGCTATGGGTTCGCTAATCGGGACCCACCTATAGCCATAAGCATCAGGTTACCTAGGTATTTTAGTGGGATACTACCCAAACTATACCTATAAAGTGGGACATGAACAGCTGCTTCCTTACCAGGCCAGCCAGCCACAGGTGACAAAATTTAGTTAACCCCACGTTAATATTCCAAAACCCCACCACTAGTAACCATCTTTACTTTCTTCTCACCTTCCACTCTTCCACTCTTACGTCCTAACAACCAATTTAATCTCGCCATCGCCGCTTCAAGGCCTCGACTAGGCCACGATCAGCTGGAACACCATGGATATCACCAATTTCGTGGTTTCTGCGAGAAACCAGGCCCTCCTCTATGGAGATTATAACACCTACCACAAACAACTAGCCAAGAAGCTACACAACTGTCGAAAAAGGTTGAACATTGTGACTAGAAACCGGGGAAAGTTTAGCAAGAAAGAACCCATCTCAGCCGAGAAGCTGTCGGAAAACCATGAGTATGCGCATAGCCACCTACTAGAATCTTATAGCTGACCGAATCGAGGTATCTCCACCTCCAATTATTGACAGCCGAGCGAGCTTGGGCACATGCTATGCGCTTTAAAGCCGTCCACTCCGCCGATACCAAGGGTATTACAGGGAGAACCCGTTCCCACATTATATCGAGACTCGATAAAGGCGCACGCGCTGCCGAAACCCTTGTCAATGTCTTATCCGACGCCTCTACTAGTGGTGCTAGCGATACTGATATACTAGAGGCACGTGCATATGCTTCTATGTTACGAGGCGCCACTCAGTTTGAAAAACAAAGTTGGGAGCCATGCCTACGAAGTTACGCGACCGCACGTATTATATACACAGCGCTTTCTACATCCATGAGAGGGGATATTTTCAAGGACCTCCTGTCAGAGACTATCGACCCTTCTATTCGATATGCTGCCTATCAAAGCAAGGTTCCAAGGACTTTGGCGATACCAACAATCGCGAGAAAGGCGTTTCCTTCTTCCGACTCCGCTTTGGTCGAACAAATCAATAAACTAGCCCCAGACTTATTGAAGAAAAGTGATTCCGATGCGCAGAAAGGCCAAGTTGGTGCTCCGAATGCACCCCAGACTATTACATGGAGATCTAGAGAAGTCAAGATTGAAGATGCAGCGATCGCTCTTGCGCTGGCCTCGACTGATACAGCAACCGCACTCCTAGAAGAGAAACTAGCATCATCCGACGTTACATTGCCAAGAGAAATGGCTGCGGCGTACGACGAAGTACTTATAGCTAGTCAGGATGCAGCCGACGCTACCAAACATGCCATTGATGAACTAAAGGAAGAGGGCGTGTCACAGAATGATCCTCGAATACAGAGCTTACAAATAACGCGCACAGCGGTCAACTACCAAATGATCAGTTGGAGAATTGGTCGCAATCGAGTGTTAAGCGGAGAACACGATGGTGCCCTATTGGATTCAGCACCTACCACCACCCGAAAGTCCAAAAAGGACGCCACATCTCGAAAACCAAAGATAGAACCAACTGGAAGGAAAATTTCTCGACTCAAAGACAAAGTGGTGCTTTACGATTCTACATTGCAGAGCATTGATTCGATTAAGGAACTCCCCGGTGTCGCAGCGGATGAAGGGTTACTTGAACAGTTAGAAGCGACCGCCAAATATTTCCGTGCTCTCAAGTTAGTACCTATATTTCCTGCCTATACGCTCCTGTTCCATGCTTACTAACCTAATAATAGGTCCCTCTCTATTGCGCGGTCGCATTCCCTGACTGATCAATCACCTAATGCTTATGTTCTCACTAAACATGCATTTGATGAGTGCCAGCAATCTGCTGCATTGTTTTCAAAGCACGGTGCATCCTCCTCTGACTCCTCTCCCCGCAACATAGAAATTCGTCAAGCTGATATCCAATTCCTCCACAATCTTCTAAAAGGTGAGCTCCAACGAACTCGCGCCATTGTTCAAATAGACAGCCAGCGGCAAAAAGCGGCAGAAACTGTTCCTCCACACGGAGGATCTCCATTGGTTCAACGTTTATTTGAATACCCAGAAGGGGGTGCGAATTTGAATCATCTCGTGGACTTTCCACCCAAAATGGATGTTATCCCGGTCAAACCTTTATTCTTTGATGTCGCCTGGAACTACATTGATTACCCCGGAAAAGAACCTGTCGCCGCCACCACTCCTGAGCCCGAGCAAAAGACAAAACAACAGGCTCAGTCACAGAAGAAAGGATGGTTTGGCTTCGGAAGATAGTTGGTCCCTATCCGTCAACAATCTGCGATTACCTAGGTACATAAAATATACCAAAAATGAGAGGGTCACGAGAGACCCTAAAATTTTAACATTCATCTTATCTTGCGTATTCTCCTGTGAAAAGGGCTATTTCATTAAGGGGTATCTAGGTCAAGCTGTGATAGTATGTCTTACTAACCAAAAGGGCTCTGCGACAACTCATACCTAGTATTGGATTTCTCCCTGCCCCCCTTCCCCCCTTGTTATAACCCCTTAGGATTAGATAACTTTCAACAACTCCCCAAATCGGTAGTTACAGCCCATTCCATTTCATTTCACCATGGCTCAATATATCAGGTCGTCGTTCCTCAAGCAGCTCAAACGGGCTCATGATACCCAACGAGAGCAGTTTAGACTTGATATGGACATCAAAGGCACGGGCGAGCCTGAGCGATTTGCCTCTTTCTATTCAAGATGAACGACCACGAAGAACTATTCCTCTGCGGGCTTTCGTCACTTCGCTTCTATGCCTATTTGTTTTGGCACTAACATTGGGGGTGGGACTTGAGCTCGGATTTCCATGGTACAAGACCATCTTTGCGGCGCCGTCGGGTGACGATAGTGGTGATTACAGTGCATTCGAGGATCTTGAGTTTGTCCCGATAGATAAGCTCATTAATAAGGACGAGCTCGACCTCAATACCGACTTCGCTACATCAAATACACAAGGCCAGATCCGCGAGTATACCTTCAATATTACCCAAGCACTTGCGGCGCCAGACGGGTTCCGCAAACCCATGGTTCTCGTCAACGGACAATCCCCACGACCACTCATCGAAGCTAATATCGGCGACACGATCCGGGTGCATGTTAATAACTTCATGGCGAATAGTAGCACGGCAATCCATTGGCACGGAATAAACCAACAGGGGACACCGTGGATGGATGGTGTGGCGGGTGTATCTCAATGCGGCATACCGCCGGGAGAGAGCTTCACGTATGAGTTCCATGCGAGGGATCAAAGGGGCACGTTTTGGTGGCATGCGCATCGGGGAGTGCAGTATAGTGATGGGGCTTACGGAGCTATTGTGAGTACATTGTATATTTCAAGAGTGTGAGTGAAAGCTAATCAAGAGGTTAAGGTAATTCGTGATCCGGATGAAATGGTCCCGAAGATAGATGACGAGAAACTCATTTTCGTCGCGGATGTATATCATACATACGGATCTACTGTAGGATGACATTATTCAACGGTATATTCCAAGAGTATTCACTAACTACTACTATTCAGATACTAAAAAGCTACCTCAAACCAACCTCAAAATGGGCGCCCACCGAATCCGGCGTCGAGCCCCTCCCAGATAATATCCTCCTCAACGGCCAAAACACATACGACTGCTCCGTCACCTCCACCACCTTCCCACCTCCATCCAATTCCCCTTCCTCCTCGCCCCCATGCACAGACGGCCAACTCTCCACCACCCAAATCCGCCACAAACAAACAATTCGCCTCCGCCTAATAAACACATCATCATTCCTCTCCTACTGGTTCAGCATCGACAACCACACTTTGACAATCGTCGAACTCGACGGCGTTGAAATCGAACCTATAGTTGGGGCGCGGGGTGTCTATCTTAATCTTGGACAAACGAGTTTCCGTTATCATAACCGCGGATCAGACACCGGGACGGTATTACATGCGTGCTTCGGTGCCGCGGACGTGTTTTTTGCCTTATGCTACGTATGAGAGTAAGGGCTTGGAGGCTGGTGGGTATGCTGTTAGGGGGGTGTTGGAGTATCATGATCAAAATCGAGGTGATGAGCAAGGAGAAAAAGAAGATAATGATGTACGGAAATCGGATGAACCCATTGGGGTAGCGGGAAATACGTCGAATCCGTACGGTGTTGAGAATAATGGACTTAGAGGGGATGTGTGGGAGGGATGTGACGATATGCCTTTCGATATGCCGGTACCGATGCGCAAGCAACCTGCGGTCGAAGTGAGCGAGGCGAATACGCATCACATTGAGTATGCGTTTCGACAGGCGCAGGACGTCAATCGGATATTTGTTAATAAGGTAATTAAGCTTCTATCCCTCTCCTGGAGCGCATTTCCAACGCCGATAACTTAGCTAACACTAAGATATAGACATCATACTCACACCCAAAAGATAACGCTACGCTCTGGAAAGTACTCGAACAACAATTCACACCCGACAGAGCCAATTCATATAATAGCTGGGACTTCGGGCTCAACCAGCAAGTTCTACTAATCTCAGATGCTCAAAAAGGAGCACAAATAGTCATTAACTCGCTTGACGCGATGGAACACCCCTGGCACTTACAGTGAGTCTCCCCATTCCCTCATTTTTAAATATTTCCCTACCTCTCTTTCAAGCAAGTTGACTTCTTTAACAGTGGTATGTACATATAACTCGCCTATTCACTAAGGTTCAATATGATTTTCTGAGAGGTAATACTAACCACCCAACCAGGCCACACATTCCAAATCGTAGGCTGGGGCCAAGGTCGTTATGGCTTAGAATCTCGAAAACCCGATGCGCCGGGACACCGTCACCGTTCCGCCATTTAACCACGTCGTATTGCGCTTCGCTACTGATAACCCAGGAGTCTGGGCTCTGCATTGCCATGTCGCGTGGCATGTTGAAGGTGCGTTCAAACCTCTATCACTTTTTCGTCTCTTTTAATGACGCTTACTAATAATACATAGGCGGCATGTTCCTCTCCATAGCTGAACGGCCTTCCGACCTCGTCGAACTGGTCGACAAGATGGACTCAGACGTAAGACAGCAGAGCCGAAATTTCTGCGGCGCGGGTAGCTTTTGATAGTAGAGTCAAGGTTGAATCGCATTCATGACAGCACATAGAGTAGAATATCATTTGTACATAATAATAATCATTTAACAAAATATTTTCATTTAGACAATTGTCTTGAGAGGGGATGTCTTATTAATTTTTTTGGTTCCTTCATCATAACGGCTTTTATATACAATGCTCAAGCCAGAGCAAACCTTCCTATGCCATTCGTCACCGCATGATATATCTTCAAACATGCAGATAAAACGTATCCCCAAATCTCAGAACGCCGCTTCCGCCCGCAAATTCATGAGAAACATCACCTCAGAATCAGAGTATTCGTCGGAGTTATGTTGTGGCTGGGGAATAATGTAGAGCGGCAAATATGAGTACAGGGTAATGTACAGGTATAGGGAGCTGGCTCATATGATCCCCGCTTTTAGGGTAATTAGGTAGGGAGGGAGTAGAATCGAGAATTATCCTTTCGGTTAGGGTATTTAAGGCTTCTTGTCATCGTCGGGCTTGGATTCCGAAGAACCGGACTCGGAATTGCCGGATGACTCACCGGACTCAGAACGAGCCTTGTGCATCTTGTCGAAGAGGTTTAAGCTGGCCATCTGGAGCTCATCCGTCTTCTCCTTGATTTCCGCAGCAGTGGCAGTACCCTCACCAGACTGGCTCTTGCTGACGAATTCTCGGAGAGAAGTGATCTTCTCTCGAATACCATCAGCTTCAGTCTTGTCTAGTCGGTCGGCAAACTCATTGAGAGCCTTCTCGGTATCGTTTAGAACGCTGTCGGCACGGTTGGCAGACTCAATGGCAAGCTTGCGCTCCTTGTCCTGCTCAGCGTATTTCTCGGAGTCTTCAACCATCTGTTCAATTTCAGACTCGGAAAGACCGGAGCCGGAAGCAATGGTGATGGACTGGTCCTTGTTGGTACTCTTGTCCTTGGCGTGGACGTGGACAATAGAGTCGGCATCAATGTCAAAGGTGACCTCAACCTGAGGAACACCACGGTGTGCCGGTGGGATACCAACTAGCTGGAAGTTTCCTAGAAGCTTGTTGTCCTTAACGAGTTCACGCTCACCCTGGTAAACCTTGATCTCGACAGCAGTCTGGAAGTCGGCGGCAGTGGAGAAGACCTGGGACTTCTTGGTGGGGATAGTCGTGTTACGGTTAATCAATCGGGTGAAAACACCACCAAGGGTCTCAATACCGAGGGACAGAGGGGTGACATCCAAAAGCAAGAGATCCTTGACCTCACCAGACAGAACAGCACCTTGGATAGCAGCACCAATAGCGACAGCCTCGTCGGGGTTGACGGACTTGGCGGGTTCACGGCCGAAAATGCTCTTGACCGACTCGGAAACCTTAGGCATACGAGTCATACCACCAACAAGGATAACCTCTTGGATGTCCTTGGCTTGTAGGTTCGCATCCTTGAGCGCCTTGCGGACCGGCTCGATAGTCTTAGTGATCAGAGGGTCCATCATGCTCTCAAGTTGGGATCGAGTCATCTTGGTGTTGATGTGCTTGGGGCCTGAAGCATCGGCGGTGATGAAAGGAAGGCTGATGTCGGTTTGAAGAGAGGAAGAAAGCTCGATCTTGGCCTTCTCAGCGGCCTCGCGGATTCGCTGGATAGCCATGCGGTCATTAGATAGATCAATGCCAGAATCGCTCTTGAATTGTTGAACCAAGTGGCGAACCAGGCGGATATCGAAATCTTCACCACCCAAGTGAGTATCACCATTCGTCGACTTGACCTCGAAAACACCATTCTGGATTTCCAAAACCGAGATATCGAAAGTACCACCACCAAGATCGTAGACGGCAACTACTCGATCAGCTTCCTTCTCTAGACCATACGCGAGAGCGGCAGCGGTGGGCTCGTTAACAACACGGAGGACGTTGAGACCAGAAATTTGACCGGCGTCCTTGGTGGCTTGACGTTGAGAGTCGTTGAAGTAGGCGGGGACGGTGACAACAGCATTCTTAACTGGTTTGCTGAGGTAGGATTCAGCGGTCTCCTTCATTTTGTTCAGGACGAAACCACCAATTTGCGACGGCGAGTACTTCTGTCCTCGTGCCTCCACCCAAGCATCGCCATTGGAGTGTTGTACAATCTTGTAAGGGACTTCCTTGATATCTCTTTGGACCTCGGCATCGGTGAACTTTCGTCCAATTAACCGCTTGGTGGCGAAGAGAGTGTTCTCTGGGTTAACAACAGCCTGTCGCTTCGCAGCGACACCGACTAATCTTTCACCATCTTGAGCAAACGCTACTACGGACGGTGTTGTTCGGGCACCTGCGCCAGCGATAAGTATGTCGTCATGAGCAATTGCGCCAGCGGTATTTTCTTACCTTCTGAATTCTCAATGATCTTGGGAACCTTTCCTTCCATGATAGCAACAGCTGAGTTCGTCGTACCTATAGAAGATATATCAGTAAACCATACCCTGCGCACAATTGTAAAATTTTATCCCACTTACCGAGATCGATACCGATGACGGCACCTTGAACTTTGCCCTCCGTCGACTCATATCGAGCGAAGCTAGATCCTAAAGGTTTTCGTAGAGGTGCGGCCCATCGTGCAGCTGTGGGAGTTGCTCGTGGAAGCTGTTACAACAATCGGAAGTCAGTCACGCGGTACGATAACAATAAGACATGCCTCCGGTGGGCCGATTGTGGGATTGTAACTTACAGCTCTGGCAAAGCGGGAGGCCAGCATATTGAAGGGTGAGGAATGTGAACGGCGAACGTATAGACACCGAGGGAGGGAATATGTGTTGTGAAAGAAAAGGAAGGTGAGATAATGTACAGGTGACCCGGCGACGTTTTTATTATTATGTAGGTGTAAATGTGGGAGAAGGCAAATTGACGAAAGGCGGATACTATAAAATTTCTGCGGCGACCGAAGGAGGGAGAAAGATTTCTTAGAGCTTCCCGAAGGGCGGTCTAAGTCGGCAATATAGGGACCAATCATATTTGTCCTTGAAAATTTTGGGAAGGGGTGACGTCCACTAATCGCCGGTATGTACGGAATTATGTAATATTTGTAGTTTCGTACCTTTTACCGAGCAGCAGTAGCTCCAATTTACTCTCTCAAGTAGAGGAGCCGCGCTTAGGTAATATTCTAGAATTTCCAAGCTTTCCATTGGTAGATTGTTCTAGATACATTTGTACATAAGTACATGTAGATTCGTCACTAATAAGTACCTCTATACATGTATATTTAGCGTAGCAGGATGATCAATGTAAAAAAGAAGAATTCAATATCAAATTGACAATGGCAGACAATAACTGTATTCCGATGAGATAGTATTCTACTTCTTTGGTTGGAGATATGCACATTTCGAAAATTGCAATGATGTAAGTACTTTGTAAATCTTCGAGGTTTGACGTTACGTCCGTTCAACAGCGAGCCGGGTAATTACCAGTAGAAATGGCATCACCGCAAGTCCAAGTTAGGTATTATGTAGCTTTGACTAAAACGGGACGTGCGATATCTAATCGGCCTAAAACAGTGATTATTTGCAGCTTAAGGGTACATTTGGATAGGAACGTATTTTAAGTTAGTGATTGTACTACGCTGACTGCGGCAGCGGGTTTTGATGTGCGGATGTATCACTCAGATTCTTAAGTGCACACTTAATGCTTAATACCTCAGGAACATTGAACATTAAACAGCATGCACGGAAATTGAAGGTGAAGGCGAGGGTGAAGCGGAAGGAAGTACATACCTAGGTACCCACTAAATGAGCAGAGGTACCGACGCCGTAGATTCAAATGGATGTTTCTTGGTGCAACAGCAGCGGCGGACAAGGTGTGTGTACAGGGCGGTTACAGGGTGTAGGGATGTATACCCATACTAAGGTGGTTGCCCCGTAGGTAAAGTTAGTTTGGTTTAGTTTGGCTCTTTTTGGTTGTCGGCTGCTATTGCTGTTGCTGCGAATCTGAACGTCATCTGAGGAGGGAGCCTTCCTTAAGGGAAAAACTACTTTCAAACTACTTTTCGATACTTCTTGGGTGACTTTGTCTCCAGCTATTTTTCTTCATTGTCCGGAAGAACACAAAAAAAAAAAGACGATCAATAAATAATACAATACAATAAATCTGTTCTGACAACCTTCTCACTCCACCTGGAACTTTATAAGAACAACGGGTTCCGAGCCAACTTACATTACATCCGTGATTTTAAAACCTATCTGATAATTCTACAAACAAAATTCAACATCCCGACATTCCGCTCCGTCGTTTAAGTGAGGATGCTGATATTTTTGCCTTAATTTTCCTCACCTCCATCAACCTTCGCTACCTATTTTGCCGTTGCTGAAGTAATTGTCACCTTACTCTTGTGTTTTTTACTTCAGCTTCCTGAACCTCTTTCGATTACCACCGCGACCGATAAAAACAACCTACGATCGGCGCATCTCTCGACGTGTCGCTTGACTCTACTTCAACGCGCTTCCTATGATTGATGCGACTTGATTGCGGTTTCGATATCCGCCACCGGCATTATGCCTTCGCATGAAGAGGCCAGGTAATTATTCCCTTGTTGCGCGCGTATCTTCGTTGTATACGTTAAAACCCTGCCGGCTGACAATGATATTCTATTAGTATCTGGCCTTCTGATAACTTACTCCTTAAAGAAGGTCGGAAGCATTATCGTAGCAGCGTCTCGCCAATGTGAGTATCACAACCTATCTATCTACTACCTTACCAATTTATCCATCCATCCCGTGTAATAGCTAACCACCCTTTCCCGGTTCTAGCCACTGGCAGCTTCGATCGTTACTTAGTGCCGAGCGACAAAATATCCTTTATTTCCCCGCCGGTGTCAACAATACCCATATCCAGCGACTCGATACTTCTACGCGAGAGTGCGAGACGATCAAAGTTATTAGCTTCCATCCTCGTTGTTTAGTTGCTAGCAAGGGTTGGATTTGTTGCGGTGGCGAAAATGGAGAAGTTGTCGTCATGCGCGAGTCGGGGAGTAACGATACGAGTACTCAAGCCCAGGCCGATAACTTAAGTAGGGACTTCCGTTCAAGATTAAATTCGATGGAGGCCTCTACTCTAGCAGAAGGTGGTACATCACAAATACAGCGGGATATGCTTTCTGTCGTGGAACGATTAAACGGCCCCAACAACAAGACGTGGTCTGCCACGAGTACCAAAGCTGGAAATGAACGCGTCAATTGTATAACGATCTGGCATCCAACTAAGGGTATGTCGGCGCCTGGGCAGTATGACGTACCGGTAGGTATTGTCGCAAATAACGACAAGACTATTGCGATCGTGGATCTCACATATCCTGACTATCAGAGGGATGTAATCGAGTACCCCGACTGTGTGAATCGTGGTGTCATCTCTCCTGATGGGTTATTACTAGTTGCTATCTGCGATGACCCTTATCTTTACATACACAGGCGAATACCGCACACTTCGCAGTTCCTAGGGGAGACCTTTAAGTGGTCCAAGTTGCCGAGAATACGACTCAAAGGTCAATGGAACAAAGATACCACAGATTGCCGGGGAAGTTTTGCAGCCTGTTTCTCCCCCTCTGGGAAGTATCTAGCCGTTGGGACGCAGTACGGAACGATTTCCATATTCGATGCTGTCGCTCTCAGAAATCCTGATTCAGACCCCTTGATTACTTACTTCGATTCTGATCGGGCACCGAGTGAATGTGGCGCCGTTAGAGATATGGCCTTTTCACCAGGGCCTCACGATCTTTTAGCATGGTCGGAGCATCGTGGCCGAATTGGGATAGCAGATGCGAGAACTAACTTCATGCGACGACAAATCATCTCGTTACATGATAGTCATAATATGTTCGATCACTTCTCACTAAACGATGGCAGCACGATCGATCCTCGCCTACTCGACCCGCGCAGCGAACGAGACCCGGAATCCGACCGTAATATGGAGGGTGACCGCGCTGAAAGGCCGCTACTTTCACTGCTAGATCGTTGGGGGCGACTGATGTCCGACCGATCGCGACCGAATCCAGAACCATCCACTACCACGCGATACAATCAGCCTTACAGTCCGGACGAAATGCAAGTATTAAATGCTCTTCAGAGCACTCGTCAGCAACGAGAGACGCATGATCGTGACCAACCCGAACCACGGCTCCCTGAGCATCGGCATCAACGAGGTCCTGAGAGGTGGAGGTCTCCCCCGGGCTGGGCGGAACGTGTAAGTATCCATGTTCCCCAGGATGAATCCCCGGGTCAATTTGAAACCGATGTGCATTTGGAAATGCTGGAATTAATCGTAGACGGCGTCGTCGAGAGGATGTTTTCAAGAGATCAGCGAGATACACCAACTTCTCCTAGCCCGGGCCCTCTTGATTACACAACAGATACAGATCGTGCTAACTTGGACGCCCAGCATGCAACCATGACGCGTATTATCGAACGTGAACGTATGCGTGAGAGTCGCGACCAACATCGTTTGGGTATCAGTCAGACGCCCCCGGAACAAGACCGCGAGAGGGTCCCCGGTACTGGACGAGAACAACGGCGGAGAAGCGCGTCAATAATGTATACATTGGCACAAAATGCAGACAATATCTCACAGATGATGGCCAACCGGGCTTCAGGTCAAGCCGGTGAAAGCAATGATGGGCCGACGGCAACAGCAACTTCGCAGGGGCGGGCTTCTTCTCCATGGTTTTCCGGGCGAATGGGCGGATGGGCAGACATAGAAAGCTCAGCTATGATGTATGGGAGCGAGGGCGGTACCCGAGATGACTCTCGAGCCGAGTCCAGCAGAGTCCGCCGAGGCATTCCAGTGATTGCTGATGTGTGGACCAACGACTCCCTCTTCAGTAGAATTAGGACGGGTAGTCGAGAGCACCAGCAGAACCCAGACGACACTGCGGGTCTAGCATGGAGTGAGGATGGCCAAGTATTGTAAGTTCATACTCAGACCCTGCAAACCGAATATGTGTAGCTGACCAAGGATTTTCATAGATATGTTGCCGCGGAAGATGGCATATATGAGTTGCCGGTCAATATGCATGGTAGAAAGGTCTTCCCGGACATTTCGCTCCGTTGATCACCAATAGTTGCCAGCCGCCTTTACATAGGCTTTGATTGGTACATTGTTTGTAAATGAACTCAGGACCTCAGGATGGCGTTTGGGGCGTTTCTGATCATACGAGCATAAGGGGTAGTACAGGCGTTATATTTCCCCCGGCTTTGGACGCGATGATTTCTTGTTTTCGGTTTGTTCTGTTCTATTTTCTTCTATCCCGAGCAAGGTGGCAGTGGTATTTTTTCCCAATTTTTCCCATTTGAGGGCGGGAGTAGATTTTATTCCTCGCCTCAGCCGCCCCCACAAAAAGTCATTTCTCTATTGGAGTTTTTTTCGCGAGGGAGAGAGGGAAAATGGACGGGCATCCATTAAGCCTTAAGAGTCTCACTCAGGCTCTTTTTTTGCCCTTCCATTTGTAACACTTGAGACCCCCAAATGTATGTATTGTACATAGTGAGTGGTAGTATCCCGCCACCGTAATCCGTTGAGTCACATTGACCCGACTCACTGGATACAAGGCGTATCCCAACCATCATTTCTGAGGCATCTTATTATTGAGGTTGTATTGGTCGCGTGCGCTGTATTATAATGGTTTCATATGCAGTGATATATTCTATACCCAGTATCCAAATCGCTACTTCGCTATTCGTTACATAGTATCATTAGCCAGATTAAGAAATAACATGTAGTTACATTTGTGGATATCAAGCCATCTACCAAATCATAACCCATTAATCTCACCATGCTACCAGTCCTATTGTAAAGGAGGCGAGCCTTCTACCTTCCCACTCGCATAAAATATATCCCTTACCAAATCACCAATAGCCAAACTACTCGTCAACCCGGGGCTTTCAATGCCTAACAAGTTCACCCATCCCTCGTATCCGTCTTCTTTCCTTATATAAAAATCTACGAATCCTCTCGCACTTGCGGGCCGTAACTTTGGCCGTATCCCGGCGTAATCCGGGGCTAAAGCCGTGGTGTCAATTTCTGGTAGGTATTTCTTAATTTCGGTGATTGCATCAGGAAGACGGGATGCATTGATAGATAGTTGGTCCGGGGAGTCCACCCACTCAACGTCCGGCCCGAAACGCATCCGTCCCGATAGATCGAGCGTGAGATGTGTGCCTAGACCACCAGCACCCGGGGCTGCAACGGGGTATATAAGTCGTCGCACCTTAGGTTTAGACGAGGCATAACTGAAGTAATTCCCCTTAGCATAGTATAGCTTAGTCCGTCTCTCCGGTGGGACAATCATATTATGCACCTCCGCAGCACCAAGACCCGCACTGTTAATTATCGTCTCCGTCGTAATATCAGATTCCGTATTCGTCTGCGCATCGAGTACTCGTAAACGCCAACCCCCACTTCCAGGCAGACTTCCAGATGTCGAATTCAAAGGCTCGATCCCCACAACCGTAGAATTCAACACCGCGAACCCACCCTCCTCCTCAAAATGACCATGCAGCGTCGCCATCAACGAATGTGAATCCACAATCCCGGTCTCGGGGCTCTCAAGCACACCCGAATCCGCCGTAACACAAGGTTCCTCCCGTCTAGCTTCTTCCTTCCCAACCCACCTCGTCGGCACCCCAATCTCATCCTTACAAGTCCTATGAATACGCTCCAGCGTCTCCCTCTGCGCATCATCCTGCGCAACCACCCATTTCCCCACCTTAGCATAAGGAACTTTATATTCTTCACAGAATTTGTATAAAGCCTGGCGTCCAGATATACAAAGACGGGTTTTGAGAGAATCGGATCCGTAGTACAGGCCCGCGTGTATGACTTCGCTGTTCCGCGATGATGTCTCGGTCCCGATTTGTGTGTGCCGCTCTAGAAGGAGCGTGGAGCTGGTGCGTTGGGAGAGGGCGCGGGATATGGCGAGACCGACTACGCCGCCGCCTATTACCTAGGTAGATAGGGAGACTGTGAGTGGTCAAGATCTGGTTATATGTTTTTGTGGTATATTATATATAAATATGTAAGATTAGGACTATATATATCATAGGGATTATATGCAGCCGGGGCAATCACGCAACCAGACGGGTGTAGCGACTTACCACATGAGTGAAATCCGCTCTAGCAGGCGCCGTACTAGAGAAAGAGCGCGTTAAGCTCGCCAAGTTCTCCGGTCGGAATTGGCGCCGAGCCGTTCTTGCCAACATATTCTCTAACAATTTAAAGATTTCAGAAAGGAAATTAAGGAGGCGAACCCCATTACTTTATACGTAGCAATGAGGTTACGGAGGATGATATCATTAGGTGTCCCGGGTCCGGATCGGAGTCCCTTATCGATTGTCGGCTTGCCCCGCCATATAATTCTTTAGCGATTCATTTTCGTACGACCCTGGATCTCTAATAATCCACATACTGGAATTCATGGGTTATAGCCTCGGATATCGTTCAAAGTCCTACTTAATAATTCAAAAGAATAATTTGGCAAGGTGTATGTACGATATCGTTCCGATATAATGTCATTTCAGTTTGATTTGCCATATTATTAGGTAATGCTCGCCATGATTGCTTATTAGTATACATCTCCTTCGGAGTATCTTCTAGCCACTATGAATAAGGCAGCAGTATCACATTGCAATCACAACGAGTCAAGTCACTTCCTGCTATCAATCCACTGCAAACCTTGATATTTCTAGACACTAGCCTTTCTGTACCTGCTATTGCATGTATTTTAGTGATTCGCATCACAATCTTATCAACCTCTATGAGCGTCAAGGAAACTAAACACTTGCCGAGACCCTTCCCAGAGAAGAGAGGATTGCTTATGCTAGGGATAGGCGATGTATCGGGGAACAATGCCATGAAAGACTGTTGTATGCCATGTTTCGTTATATCATATCCCCTCTCGACTGGCATCTTCCATGCCAACCTTTCCACTAACGCCGATGACTCGACCAAAATGAATACCGAAAGAAACTAACTCGTCGGGTTAAGGCGAGTAAAGCAACCGAACGCCTCCAAACCGTCCCGTAATTTTACACACCATAAATCAAATACCCCTTATTCGTCCTTTGGGGTATCCGCAACTGCAGTGGGCTGGATAGTACTTGTGGATGCAGCAACAGCAGATGATGAACCCGCTGTACCTTCTTCCTCAGACATCGATGTAGATTGCGTGAGTTGTGAGTGGTGCGTTGGTTCTCTTGTTAGAGTTGTATTGGCATGGGCTTCAGTAAGTTGGCGTTCTATACATATGTAAGTAAATCGATATCTATATAAATCTCAATAAAATTTCTTACCGAGTTCTCTGATTCTGTGGCGCAACATTTGGTTCTCACGAACTAGGGATTGTGTCTCGGCCTGATAATAGGCACTTTCGTCTCGGACCCCAGATAGATGAGGCTCTCCACTTTCCCCACTGATTGACGTCGATCTCATCCTAGGAGAGGGAGCGCCACGGCTCGGTGTTCTGGATCTGCGGTGGAGGGCATCACGAGCCATATCGAATGAGGAACGAGGGTGGGACAAGACCGGTGAACGGGGCACAGAAGTTGATGCGGGAGGATACGCTGGTTGTGTGACCGGATTTGGTAGCGTTACCGAAGTAGATCTCTCCGAAGTAGGAGTCGCATCTTCGGTGGCTATAGCCGTTTGGTTCTGACCTTGAGCTGCTTGAAGCTGCTGTAACTGGAGTTGCTGTTGGCGAATCATTTGTAACAGTCGATTCTGTCATAACCTAAGTCAGTCTAACAAATTTTATACCAGTTTACAGAATATATGCCATACCACTTGTGCCTCTTGCTCTGCCTCAAGCTCTTGATGTAATTCTCCGAGACTTGGAGCCCTATTATGGTGAGGATCGCCGCCGGTAAGTAGTGGAGATGCTGACATTGGTTGAGGGCTCGTGGTACTGTGTACGCTTCCACCGCCCTCCGCAACCATTTCCCCAGGGCCAGGAACGGATGGGTCGTTGAGTTGTAGGTTCATAAGGACGGCGGAGCGGCGCCTACCCATCTGGGGTGATTGTCGGTGTCGTGATAGGGAGCTACTGGAGGATCCTGTAAATGTTAGTAGGTTGTATGATTTAAGATTATATAGTGAAAAAAAAAAAAAAAAAAGAACTTACGTCGCATAGGTTCATGTTGAAGACCGGCATTCATAGTGGCGGCAGCTTGCAACGAAATAGATGCGGACCTCGGAGAAGGCGAAGCTGACTCTCCGCGTACGGCAGAGTCTCCGTTACCATTTGAGGAGGTCATAATGCGTGGGCGTGCAGATGATGGTGAGGATGGTGGTAATGAATTGAGATCGGGAGCCATGTCGGCGGAAGACAGAATTCTTTGACGTAGGAGGTAGTAGATAAGGTAGGACCAGTTGCTGCAGGCTGATGTTACAAGAGGCGACTAAGACGATCAAGGCGATCTAGGCGAACTACTCAGGTGGTTGGTTTGTCAAGCTAGACCGGTCCTAACCTGCCAACTCCAAGCCAAGCAAGCTGTTTTCGAGGCCACCAGACGGAGGAAGAGTGGAGATGGAGTTAGGTAAGGATATGTAGGTATGGAGTAGAGAATATGCAGGGTGGCGGTCTGGACGCTAAAGGGTATCAAATAGGAATTATGATTTAGAGGCGATCATGGCACAAACGCCCGACCGGGACACGATGCACACGTAGAAGAAAGAATGGCGACCTCGTCAGCTTGCGGAGGCTGAAGTTGGTGGGGGGGAGGTGGAGGGTGATACCAAGTTTCTTTGTTACCTAGGTAGTGTTTTGTTGTCGCGGTGTTCAGGTGATAAGATAGTCGAATGATGGTATGTTGATATGTACCAGTCCCTAAATTAGGTAGTGGATGTGTCTGGTTGTTTTAATTTTTTAAGAGGTCGTGATCAATCCGAAATGACAAAATGACAAAATGGAAACTGCCTAGTCCTGCCCGTTGCCAGTTGCCAGTTAGAACTAAACGGTATCTGTTCCTACCTAGGTAATTCTACCATAGCATTTTGGAAAGAACACTCCGTTACAGTGTACCGTTATGCAGGTGGGCTGTGACTCTATGTGACTTTGTGGGGGAATTTACTTTACAGCTACCCCTTGACGTCAGTCCATGTGGGTCGCAACGTTAAGAGTCACGCTCCCGGCAAACTTAATGCTAGGTATGCGAACGAACTTTGCCCTTTCCCTTTCCCTTTCCCTTTTCCTTTCCTTATGAAAAAGATTACATAATCGAATTTCGCGGCTATTATATCTCCTGAGCCGCGCTTAACCATCAAACCATCTAACCATCTTCAACACCACGAGATGTCATGCGCAATCCGAGGTCTTACAACACTTACGACGCTCACATTGAATCGTAATGCCTAATATGCACACAGACTGCCATACGAAGCCTAGTTCAGTTAACCTCAACCAGAAAGAACGAAATGGTGTTCCGGATAAACTTACAATAAACAGATTTGCGGTTATATATACAAAATTGGGCAAGGCTCGAGCCAATCTTGACGAATAGAGTTCCGCCATACCAGTCAGCTGGATAAGATCGACTCTGGACGTTGCGCGTGTCCGTAGGACTATCTAACAAGAATGTATGCTAAGGAATTTAGCCCAACCTTCCACCTACACCATACGGCTCAGCATGAGTTGTTGGTATGAGGATCGGAACAGAACAGTCACGCCGCCTAGGTCGGTGCCTATGGCCTCTCTTATAGTGAAGCAGCCTATGAATTGAAGGCGAATACATTGATCAGCAATGTTCACACCAATACTTCAGGCCGAAATCCAAAAACACACTTTTTGTTCGCACGTCCTTATCATTTATATGGCTTGAATTCTTGCTGGCAGCCTCGATCGATTTGTTATGGAAATGATCCTCGATCGGATAGCGTCGGCGACCTGTTCCAGCTTCATTTGAATCTAGTAATCGACGACTCTCGTCTCTCGGAACACATAGATCCCACGCCGAAAAGCCACATGTCTAGCTTGAAGCGCCAATGAAACAAGGGAAAAACACGATCTACTAATCATCCTCTTCCAACTCTACAAGAAAGCATACTGAAACAGCACATGGCTATATGGGCGATATCGATTTCAACTTACATTTTGCGACTTCTGGATCTTGCACGATTACTAAAGACTAGATTGAATTTGTTCAGTAGTATCACTACGAAAGCAAAGCCCTACACTCGGCCAACTATATTCATCCTAGCAGAGATCCAATCCTCCCAATTGTCTAGCTCAAATCGAATCGCACAACGACATGCAATAGATACCGTCATGGAGTTCCTTCTGCGGCTGGTGCTAGATATTGGTAACGCAGATACAATTACCAAGAATTGGAACGCTAGCAAGGTTCATTGAATAGGCATGGCAACTATGAAGAAGCAAAGTAGCTCACCATCGGCTGCTGGTATCTTGCCACCGGACCCTTAATTCCGTTGTTAGTGCCGAGACGTACATGCAGAGATTCCGAGCGCGGCGTTGTGACGAAGCTGTACCCTCCGAGATTCTGACGAATCAGACAAGATAAAGACAATATCCGGCCCCGAAACGCTTACGGATATTGATGTTTCGGGAAGAAACTAGACACTAGCAGTGAGACCATGTAGCCAGCCTTGTGGGATGCTGACGATCGGTGGCTTCACCGTCACTAAGCGTACCTAATATTCGGTTTGGCCCGCCGTCACACAAAGGGTAACATAAAAGGGTCCTTCAGGGCTTCAGGGCACACAGATAACGATGAGGACTAAGCTAAAGGGATCAGGCTCACCAGGCTCGAGACGAGGTTCTGTTTGCAATGGGGCCTACCGCGAGAAAATAATTAGCAGGATGACCTTAAAATGTTTGAGCTATACGAATCGGAACAATGAGGTAGAAGTTTTACACCCTCTTATTCGCAACTTTTGAAAGGTAAGCGTTGATTGGTGTAATAACACTAAGTCGGCATTTGAAAATTTTCTTCAACCGCTCCCGGACGCCTCGGTTCAAGTGGATTCGGCAGGTTTGAGCGAAAGGACATAAATCAAGGTTCTCGACTATGACGATCCTTCAAGTGGACTTCGTACATAATTCTTGACTATCGATCAGGAGAAGAGAGACTATCAAATGGGAAGACTGCAAAGAATCGTAGCTTCAACGTTCCAAACGCCGACGACTATCGACGAGCCGTGTTAGGAATGTACCCCGAATCTTACAGCAAGATCTCTCACCAATGCCAGCCACGGACGGACAAGCTAGCCATCGTCGCATCTAGAAGGCTGAAGACTAAAGGGAACCCCTCCGGTCTTGCATAGAAATAAGTATAAGAATAGTAGTACAAGTCGCCGAAGACGACGTCGAAAAGAAAAAAAAAGAAAGCATTTTTACTACAGATTATGATATCGAATTTACGCAAGCTAGTCGCAAACTGGCTGAAGAAAATGTGACTTACGGTGCATCCCCGTCTTGATCGGCGCGACACTAACATAGTATAGTGTACAGAGATGCATATATACCTGCATTAATACACCGGCCTGCTGAGATCGTCCACGTTTGATTCGCAGGTGCCTTTATGTTGTTGCCGTCGGTATGCACGCAAGGCACAGAGGCGTCATCTAGGTCCATTCCTTACGGATATGTATACTCTTTGCGGCTGTTCAGGGTTAATTAATGACCAGTGCCTTTTTTTACGCTGATAGATCGTCGGTCGCTGCCGCACGCACACACGCGGACCCGGTGGTTCGGGTACCATAGATGAATACCTAGTAGGTCTCAATCCGAGCTCCCCAACGCGTGGCGGCCCTGCTAACAATCATTAACCCCCTGCAGTTGGGTGGCAGGATTTCACAATCCGTCGACCCCCTGAATGAAGACTGGAGCCACAAGCTTTCGTGGGCAGCGGCGTAATGGACACAGGGGTTATTGTTGGCCGTTAGTTGGCTACAGCAGCAAAATCGCTGGGTCGATAAGATTTCTGTTACGAAGGATTTTTTTCAGGGGGATGTGAGAAGCGTAGCGATTGACCCTAGGAGGTAGGTACCTGTAAATCCAAGAAAATTCTTACACGGAATGAACCGTGCCAACTTGGCGGCCCAGTTAGTTGGTTAATTTCAACGAGCGTCGCTCAGCTGGGCTGCTGGGGTGGTACTAAAATAAAAAAGATCCATTTTCTAATAACATGATTGCACCATTTTCCCACAAATATTAACCAGAATTAGATGATTGGACATTTTGTGTTATAATAGAAGGAAATATAAACATATCTGGGATCAATTCCTATCCTCATTTTCGGAGCTGACGGGAGCAGGTTGCGATTTGAAACGAAAACTTGGCAGAAGACTCGACAACACGAGAGACTTTTTTTCGCATATTTTACTCACTAAGCTCAGCCAGTCCAGGTAATTCCCGGATTCCCCGGCCACTACTGCAGGAACTATCAAGACGGAATTGGTCGCGTCGGCGCCACAAAGCAATTCTCGGGTGTTGAAGGTTTGCTGTAGTGGCCATCCCATCCCTTAGTTGAAGGATGGGGTAACAAAATGAGGCTTTAGACACTTCGAAAGCAATATTTCGTTCCCTTTTATCGAAATGGGGCTTACAAGGTCATAAAAAAAAGTACTACCTACACCTACTAATAGCTAGTTAAGCCTAGCTACCTGTTGGTGACCCGGCCAATGTCACCTAAATTCGATAGCACCGTTCAATTGCCGAGTCGATAATGGCCTAGATGTAACTCTGAATTCCCGTATGTCTGGATATGTAAATGCCTTGCGTCGATCTACGAAGGTGTGATATTGTAATCGGTGTCTTTACATGGCAGAATGAATACTTTTGCTCCTTTCATAGCAAATAAGAAAAAAAAAAAAAACATTCGGGGATACAAATCCAAAACAAACCACAGGAGAGTCGTATTTTCAAATTGGGATTAAACGAACGAAAACGTCAGCTGAGCTGAGAGAGCAACATTTATGCAACATGCGATTGTCCACTTCCTGTGCCGCATCGCACGGCAGAGAGATCATAGAAGGAAACGTGGTTGAGAGGTATCCCATCCGCCATCCCACTTACACATCCACCTACACATCTTCATCCACTTTTGTAGTACACTTACACAGACGTTTACAAGGGCAAACTACATTGAATTCGGTCCAACGTACATACCGATCTATGAGATGGTATGTCAAAATACTGAATAGGTACTGTCACATTGCCTTACGAAGGTCTGTGTTACTGTTAAGCTCTTGGTTAGGCATTGATCACGAACCAATACTCTTTTCCGTCCGGCTCATTGCATACTTGATTCGGGATAGATTCTGTCAAAGCGCGAACCCTGCCAGGCTTGCCATTGGAGTTCCCACAGGCTAGACCAGGGGCTAATTTTGGAAATAGATCAGCATACAAAGGACATGGCGCTCTTGTTTTCTGCAGTTCATCACACGTTTGTCACTTCGTACCGCCTCGGCCTATCGATAGTTTCTAGCGTCGTCATTAATAACTGAGAATACGGGGAAAGTTATGTAACCACAAGGGGAGGCGGGGAGTGATTTCTAACGAATCTGTAGGGCACCTCGATGCGTGTATTGCAGCACAGTCTGACACAAAATGCTGCCAGTTCCCGAGGTCTATACCTAGGTACCTACAACACTTACATGTACATCATGTATTGCAAGTCGTAAGATCGATAGTTTTCTCGATACTCGCTACGTATTGCCGGCGCTTTGCTAATCGCGATATCTTGATGATCAATACAAGACGATGCAATAGAATACGACTTTACCTATCAAGCGGTGGGATTAGATCAAAATCAATAATGAACAGACCTTATAATCCATGACCCATCGGCACTTCAAGGAATAACTAGGTAGTACCGAGAACGAATAGACAACCCGATTGTCGACTGAAGAGGGGAATGAATATCGTTGCTATCCAAAAATGTGACATTGACGTCCCTCTATCTTCCCCACTCGACTTGGGCACAGAGAGAGGAAAGGAACAAGAAACTCTTGGCATTCGCATGCGGTGACGATACGTTTCCCCGCCGCTACTGGACTGTCAATACAGAGGCCTACAGCCCCCAAACAAATACTTCGCGGCTCACGAGCGAGATCACATCCTGGCACGTCAATGATTCGCTGGGTCCGTCAGGGGTTATCTTGGGGCGCGTTTCTTCTGACAGGTTCAAAACAATATCGGAAACGCAACTTGACAAACACTTTTTAACTGCTGCTGCTGCGGAAAATACACGTTGACTGTAATTGGCCATATCGCTGCAGGCCGATGCCATGTAAGTGAGTGTACATATATGTATCTTCTTACATATGTAGATGTAGATATGTTTCCAAACAAGGAAATGAAGCGGGAATTTTGATCCCTCTCCGACGAAAATTTCCAAATTCTCCAACTGGTTCACTCCTCACTCACCCTAGCCAGATCTTCTTTCTAAGAGAGGAGGTTGAAGAGGAGAAAAAAAAAGGAGTCGTCAGACGAAAAGTAAGACGTCTGTCTGGGCGCTCAAAATTGTGGCAGTGTTCGGAGGGTTTGGCTTTTCCTACGCCCATCGCATGCATACGAATAACCTGTCGTGCTCCGCGCCTATCTGTGATTTATTGCGTTGCAAAAAGAGTCGATCGTATGCCATAATTCGGACAAGATCAAGGCTATCTTTTGCAGATTAGAGCCAATTTCAGTCACGTCAACTTGACGGATTCGAAAGAGGGACTAATGGAGAAATAAAAAATCGTGATAGAAAATGGGGTTTTATTAATTACAACTCAAGCCGGAGACCACCTTACAAGTGACTTGGCTAGTACACGATGGTTGAGGATTCTTCGGTAATAATAAATATAGCGACGATGTATTCATTAGGTACTTTCAGCACGTCCCGCACCAAAGCCGCACGGTCATGGGCCGGCGCGCTGGAAGAAGATCCCTGACCGGGATGTACAACCATATTCCCTTCTTCCCCTTGCCGTCAACACACATCCACATACATCCATCCAACCCACTTCGTCAGTTTAGAACAAGGGAACAGGGGAACAGGGGTTCCTTTCGCGAATCCCAGCCTAGCCAAGCTCCATTTCTTCCCAATTTCTCACTCACCACCTATGCTGCCAGGCTCCTAAGGCAGAGAGCGCGCGCAACTGGGGTAACGTCTGACTCGTCGGGGCTTTGTATGTATATTCCTGTAATGCTTGTATCTTTTTTTCTGCAAGTCGCTCTTCGTGCGTCCGCCCCAGGTCCCTTCTTCTTGCTTCTTGTCTCTACCTACTTTCTTCTTCAGGGCCTCAGTCCGCGACGGAAACATGAGACCGTGGACAATGACCTTCGACCCGCATGTTTAGTACCTCTTGTACCCTTCTATACATATCTACTACATAACTAATACCCAAATCCCTATACCTATTTACCTAAAAGCAGACCATCTCCTGGTGGCTCGACAGGAACTGATTTTCGACTCCTACGTAATTTTTCTAAAACTCCCTTCTCCCAATTCAAGTCTCGTGGGCTTCTACGGTCTAGTCCTTCACTCTCTTCTGTCCTAACTCCACTCTTAATATTTCTTCCAACTGTCATTTTTATTTTAGTCTGGAGCTATATACAACTAGTCCAGTCCGTCATCGTGTAGTGTTGTTCGCGCCGGGAGTTGCCAGGACTATATACCAAATTTCAAGGCACTATTCACATTTTCAAGCCTCACAACACAAGGTTGCCTTGACTTCATCTCCACGGGTCCCCTTCGATTTCCCCTCTCGATCTCGGCTGTTGACAGATATTGGGGCTTCTGTTCATCTCGGTTACACCTTGACCTAATCGTCACATGCCTTTGTGGACCTCGTCACTCTCATTACATTGACTTCATTCCGTTCACATACACTACCATATGTCGTTAAGGTCACCGACGGCATACTATCACATACCAGCACAAGTCCAGAGTCTTCCTACTCGGCTACAAATATATTATAGTTGAATGTTACTCGGGCATACCATTGTATTTGTTACCTCACTAACTCACCCACAACTTGTACGAATAAAACCGCCATAATGTCTGAATCAGACGCTTCGAGCCCCACGAGTCCAACCCTCGAGGCGCTTCAGAGTCGCTCACGCGATATGCGGCGAGCGCGGCCACCAGACATTACGATCCTTACACATGAGAACAGAGTTCCTCTACGACCAGAGAAGCTTGGGAAACGTGAGTCACGAATTGGATTGAGGAGTATTTTCGGCAAGTCGAAACCAGGAAAAGATGATAAATCAGTTCAAGGGACATCATCATTAAGGGAACCTCTACGACCTAGTGGAAAACGTACCTCACTCGCGGACATCGGCAATTGGCCTCAGCGACTTCACTCTTCTCGTTCGGAGCTTTCCCTTCTTACCTCACCGGCAGCTCCCTTAAGATCTCCTGCGGCCGGAAGCACCTCGTCATCTCGGTCACAGCAAAGTAACAACAGTATTACTAAAAGCAAACTGCGTCAGCCGACGCCACCAAAGACAAGAGGGTCAATCACTGCATTTGATCCACCCCCGCTGTTCCAAATGTATCCCCAAGCAATCAAGCATGGTACACTACCGTCTTGCGTAACATCAATTGATGTTCTAGCTCGCTTCAGCGAGTCTAAAAATAGCTCACTACAGAATGACTTTTCACGAAGCAATCTCACCCTCAATCAAAATGAAATCGGTGGACGAAGAAATGAGTTGGAAAAGAAAAAGAAATCCAAATTTGCTCCGGAATGGACTAGCAAAATTTATGCGCTCGTCACCTCTGGTTACCTTCTTCAATATGCGGCAGAGGGTGCCTTCGATAGGTTACCTGAGAAGATTCTACACCTCACTCGAGACTCCGCCGCCTATGTTAGCGATCTCATTCCCGGAAAGCACTGGGTCGTCCGAGTTACATCAACTACCGATGCCGATGGAAACCCATCTTCGGACACAAAATCGTTCAGATCTAAGCTTGCACTGAGGGGAGTTGAGAAGCGACAAGTCACTAACATGCTGCTCGTTTTCGAAAGCCCCGAGACTATGGACACCTGGCTTGCTATATTGCGACGAGAAATTGAATCATTGGGCGGCAAGAAGAAGCTTTCAGAAACCGGAAAACCCGAGGCGGATGATGGAACCGCTATGCTGAAAGCTCAATCAAGCCAAAGAACACTTGTCGTACGAGATCCGGATCGCTTTTCGCGCATTGTGTCCCAGGACTTCTCGTGGAACCAGGAAAATGCACTCGAAGATCCTAATGAAGAAAGTAGTTTCAACGAACCCCGATTGGAACGAAGGTCCGAATCGACTGTGGATGATGAGTCGAGTATGGTTTCATCGGGCAGCCAACGTCTATACAGCCTTAAAGATAATGGTAGTGGGAGCAGCGGTAGTAGCGGAAGCAGTGGCAACCGACTCTCATTCGTCTCATCCGGACAGCGAACCATCATATCGTCAGCCGAATCCTCGCCGACTACCTCCCCAATTCGAGCGAGCTTTTCAAGCTATGGAGATGATCACCAGCATTCGGCGAACGAGAAGCCTCTACCACCCATTCCTGAGGTTCGACCACGTCCTAATGCTGCAGCAATTGTGAACCGCAGACAGTCGATGCAAACTATGATCCCTGGCTTCGATCCCCACCTTGAAGTCAATAGCCGCATGTCGTCACAGATACCAGTTAGCTCGACACCAAACCAGGAAAGCAAGCCTCAATTCGTCCCCAACTTTAGCGTACCACATACTGTTGGTCGGCGATACTCAGCTTTAAACTTATCAGTTCTGACGTCCAAAGCGGACCAACCCCAAGGAATGGACCGAGACGGACCGATAAGGCCTTTCAGGCGGAGTCCGCCAACCACCCTGGCCCTCTCTCGCCCTCTTTCTATTGTTGTCGATCAGCCGTCCCCGATGTCACCCAGCAACTCCGCAAACCAAATCCCATCTTTACAAGCTCCCGACACACCATCTATGTTTGGACCCTGGGCACCTAAACCAAAGCCGCAGGAAAAGACTGAAACCTCCAAGGATACACTGTCGGAGCCTATTGTGGAGGAGAGCCAGGCAAGCAGCAGAAGCACGACGCCTGTGGGGAATTACGACAAGGATAATGTGCGTGTTAGCCAACAAAGCCCGACTCCCTCGCAGCTCAACACAAATAAGTCATGGATTCCCCGACCTGCCAAGACCTTCCCCATGGGGTTGATGGATGCGCCGGAGTCTATACCTAGAGCCTCCTCGTCTTTTGAATTACGGCGATCATCAGCAAGTCCGACACCATCCTTAGGACGCCCATCTACTAGACGTTCGACCTTACAGGCCGAAAACATGTCCCCACAAAATCGACACTCATTTGTATACCCCAAGCAATCTAGCTTACCCTCTATTGAGGAACCTCGGTATACTCTGACGCCACCATTGACGTGCTCGCCTAAACGGTCAGCACCTTCTCTTAAGGCACTTCAACAAGAAGCTACCTCCAGTCAATTCTTGGCTATAGGCCTCGGAGCAAAGGGTCTTTCCCCTAGGAGGAGCATGCCTCACCTAGCTGAAGGACCTCCCCCAGCTCCACCTCCAACATGCGCTCTACCTCCAATTCCTAGGAAGCGCTCAACCAACACAGTCAGAAGCATCAGGGTATAGTAACTGCGTGCTTACTGACTTGTGATATACTTGTACTTCGACACATTGAAGTTCCCTTCCCTTATTTATTTCAATTATTATTTTTACCGATCTATGTTATACTTCATGTATATCATTGTATACCTACAACCTACACCTTTACGATTCACGATAATGATAGTATTTGGGTCGTACGCTTATAGACAGGACTCAAATTTTGTTCAGCAAAAAACAAACACAACTTGTTTCAACAAAACCCCTTTACAGGGAAAAATATTTCATTAGGTATAAGGGGAATTTTAGGAAACGCACATTTTTGTGGTTGGGTGTATTTTGAAATGAAGGAGATGAAGAGATATCCTATTGCTTGACGGATTTGACGACGGGTATGATTATAGATGGAGATGGATATCTTGGGTACCGTTCCAGGGAAAAGGAGGTATATCTTTGAAGATATTCACCACACCTTACAACTAGCCGCTTGGCGACACTTGACATTTTTCTTTTCTTTTGACCTATTATATATACCAAAGAAGACCAAAAAGAGATCTCAGGGTTTCGGAGCTTCTGAATGTTAATTATTAGGTAGCGAATCAAAAAAGTAAAAGGGAGAAACAATATTGTGTTATGGTGAATTTGAAATGAAACTAAACCTTTTGATGTGATATGTGTATCTACCCGAGTATCCATTCAAGGATACTCATGGTTGAAAGAGTGAAAATAGTGACAAGATCGCATTTGTGAGTCTTTAATGTACCTAGGTACATACTAGGCACGGTCAATTTAAGCCAATCCGATAAAGGTTCGGCTCCAAATTGATAAGCGCGGGGCAAATCCTATCGCACCGATAAGATATTTTGAGGACCCCACACTTTCTCTAGAAACTGAACTCAAATCTCGAAATTCTTAATTCCTAAAACCACGAAAAATCCACATCAACGTCAAATAACTTTTACTACATCACCTATTTACGCCGAATACCAAGTACAAAACATCCAGATAATTTTGCGAAAATGGCCTCTAAGAACAGGTAAGAATTTTACCCATCGCAGAATTTTCATTTTCGTCAGCGATGGATCCACTAACCCCCCCAACAGAGATTGGGCCGACGACGACGAAGGCGACGAGGTCACCGTCGAACTACCCCCTCCCCAAACCATCCAGAACAAAGACGGCACCAAGACCACCATCACATACCGATACAATGAGAACGGACAAAAAGTAAAGACGACCCGACGCATCCGCCTTGTCACACACCGCGAAGTCGTAAACCCGCGTGTCGCCGAGCGCAAGACATGGAATAAATTCGGACTTTCCGAGAAGGACAGCGCGGGCCCGCAGATGGACACCACCTCAGTCGGCGAGAACATCATCTTCCGACTCAGCACGAACTGGCGCAAGGATACCAAGGACGAGGCCAAGGATGTCAACGCCAACGCTATGAAAGAGAAGCTCAAGGACAAGACCGTCAAGTGTCGTATTTGCAACGGCGAACATTTCACGGCTCGTTGTCCTTACAAGGATACTATGGCGCCGGTTGGTGCCGAGGGTGGAAGCGCGGATGTCGCTGCGGGTATGGGCGATGAGCCTACGCCTAATGCTACGGGTGCCGCGGGTGCGGGTAAGAAGGGCAGTTATGTTCCCCCCGCGCTGCGTGGAGATCGTGGTGCTGCTGGTGGCGAGCGGATGGGCGGTGCTGGTGGCAAGTATGGCGAAAGGGACGACTTTGCTACACTGCGTGTCACGAACGTGAGTACTTCCATTGTTTTCTATCTCTATCTCTTTCCTCCTATTTTCTTACTAATACGATAATAAACAGGTCTCCGAGATGGCCGAAGAAAACGAGTTACGCGACATGTTCGAGCGCTTCGGTCGCGTTACGCGCGTGTTCTTGGCCAAGGACCGCGAGACAGGAATGGCCAAGGGTTTTGCGTTTATCAGCTTTGCGGACCGCAACGATGCTGTCAAGGCTTGCAACAAGATGGATGGTTACGGTTTCAAGCATCTTATCTTGCGTGTTGAGTTCGCTAAGAAGGCTGCTTAGAAATCAACTTTTCGTTAAGAATGATGGTTACGATAGGAGAGTGATGCACACACAAGGTTATGTTGTGTGGTAGATTAATCACCCGGAATAGGTACATAGAATGCATTTTAGGTACGATAGGACAGGACGATGGCGTCTCGTCTATTTAGTATCGATCAAGTCGCAGGGAGAGAATCCCTTGAGATGAATGCATATCATTTCTTTTGACAAGTGGATGTCGTTTGAAGATCCTCTGTGACACGTCTGTAGAATTCAATGCCCAAGTGTAGGGAGAACCTATTCCATTCTCTCTATTCTTAACCTTCTTATCCTGGAACTAGTTCACTCCGTCCAGCTAAAGGCAAACAATATGCTCAACACAATCGACAGGGGTCATATGTGGAAGCTTGGCATCGGGATGTATGTCTCTGCTTTGACATAATTGGATTTGACTGATACCGCCGTACCGCTTTGAGATTCTCGTTCTCGTGTGTTATACGTGTCCTATCCCGCCCACTCCTACACCACCAAGCCACGTTGTCATAGAAGTTTACGATTATACATAGGTATCTTTAAAATAAAGCCATTTCTAATATCTTCAGTTGTCGAATAGTAAGAACAAGGTGTCTCTTTTAGAGCCAATCACTTTCGACATCCGCGAGTAGTATTATTGGTCTCGTGTATTATAAGTGCTGTTAATATAGTTGAAATGCAAGATCGAGGGCTACCTATCTTGACAATCCGAAGCATAGCATCGAGATCTAAAGATTGGTTATTTATTATATACGACTACTGTACGTCATTCCTAAAATGATCCCGCGCGGGGGTCACTCATCTCTATATTGTAAATATTTGTTGTAGGTAATAGGTACTACGTTTATGCTGTCCCACGTTACTAGGTTGTACTTGTTGAATGCGATTGTTCTTTATGGAGTTGGACAAATATGGATCTGTGAAGGTTGCAATTGTTAAGTGTACTAAAGGTATAAATTATTATATACCTTCAACGGTATTAGAAGAATACACCAAACTTAAAGCTTACGTAAATGCCCCATATTCGGATAAGTGCGGTTGTGTTACCGGTAGACCGCTTTCCTTATTGGAGAATTCCAAAGTTCCCCGCCTGGTTGGGACCCGATTTATCGATTTACCAATTCGTGGGATTTCCTTATCGGTACTTAGCCAAGAATATTAAACCGAGCTTTGCAGGTGTCTCCTTGCATTCCAGAACGTGCTGGTACCTGTTGCATCTGCACCTTTTTCTTGCATGTGACGCACGCACATCAATTAAGTTGATCCTTCAGCCTTAGGGACGACGAATAATTGAGGCCAATTCCGAAAATATTAAATAGTACGTACATAATAATTTATTGATGGATTTATTTGGTTGTGTCGTATTTTTATGAAATAATGAATGGTTTATGTAATGACAAAGTAACCAGGATTGGAAAAGCGCCAAGAAAAGCTGAGGCAGTAAGGTCTGAGTACATAGTGACGTCGCACACACACGGGACACACACGGCAAATAGGACACCTCACGTGGGAAGGTCCGTTTCTGTCCAATCGACGACTTCGATATTTTGGCCGTTCTTGCATTCTTGCATTACTTGCATTTAACTTTGCCAATTGTTATTAGAAAATCCAATCCAAAAATCCAAAAATTTCCCTCCACTTCATTCACCGTTTCGTCTATTTTACCAACTCATCCTTTCTTACTACCACGTTTCCTTTATATCTCCTCTAACAATATTTTTCATGGCGGCTAGTCGACGAGGTTCATTATATAGCACCATAAAAGTTCTAAACTACTAGATTTAACTCTTGTGCGTAGGAGTCATCATCTAGTACATAATGTGTGCGGCTATCGAATCCCCTGCCGATCCTGGCGATTTACGTCGCCGACAGGTGTCAACCGAGACATCGTCAAACATGAATAATGAGAACCATGATAGTGACAGTGAAGATGCTAAGGATACTGTAACTTCATCAAAGCCTAGAAAAACCTACGGCCGTACTAAAGATGGAACAGGCAAGTTAGCAACTTACGGTAAACGACCGTGCTCTACTAATACATCCCCGATAGTTTTTACGGTACCTACGACCCACGACATGGTATCGCAGTTACTTGATCCTAGAGAACCTAAGAACTTGTCAGATGCTATTGTCCTCGCTGTTCTTGCGGTACATATTCTAACCCTTTACTTCCTCCCGGAGTCTCTGAAACGGCCTGTTTTCGCTGTCGTTTTCTTATTCTGGCGTGCTGCTTACAATCTCGGCATTGGTATTCTTCTACGATTGCAATCAAATGAGAATAGGCTCATCGCATGGGCTAAAGACTGGAAGCTCTTCGAGAACCCGGCTACTGGCAAAAACCCACGACCATGGTTGTACAGCCTCCTTAAGCGTGAGCTGGAGATCAAGATCCCTGAGGACTACGAATTTGAGAAGGCACCAATCGAGTACAACACTTGGTTAGTCTTCAGAAGACTTGTTGATCTCATTCTCATGTGTGACTTCGTCTCATACTGCCTGTTTGCAATTGCCTGCGGCCATCGCCCAGACGGAGAACCATTCTACGTTACTATTGCCCGGTGGTTCTTTGGATGGCTAACTATAGGTTTCAACCTTTGGGTCAAGCTCGACGCTCACCGAGTTGTCAAGGACTATGCCTGGTACTGGGGTGATTTCTTTTACCTCGTTGATCAGGAGTTGACTTTCGACGGTGTATTTGAAATGGCGCCTCATCCGATGTACTCAATTGGATATGCAGGATATTACGGCATTTCCGCGCTCGCTGCTAGTTATTCTGTCCTCTTTATCTCCATTGCAGCCCACGCCGCTCAACTCGCTTTCCTAGTACTCGTGGAAAATCCTCATATCCAGAAGACATATGACCCACCCACTCGCAAGAGTGAAGTGCCAGACAGACCCCGAATTTACAACCTGTTGGGTATTCAAAATATTGATCTATTACGGACTGTGGATTATTCTACCTTCCTCATCAATTCACTTGTTGCCATCTTGGCTCTTTCCACACCGCAAACGACGTTACACCAGACAATGTTCTTCTCATTGGCGCTCGTACTTCGACTCTGGTATTCTATCGGCCTAGGCGTGATTCTTACTCGGCAATCAAACAGCAAGGCATGGACACGCCACTTTCTGAAAGTTGGAGAGACTCCAGAGGAAGGTTGGCGACAATGGAAAGGATATTACCATATCACTCAGAGCCTGTGCTACGCTACCTTCATTGGTGCATGTTGGAAGATGTACTCCGCCCCGGTTGACTGGAACTACGGATTTGTACTATTGAGACATGTCATCGGTGCCAGTTTGATCGCTCTTCAAATATGGACTGCTGTGAGCATATACGACTCTCTTGGCGAGTTTGGTTGGTTCTTTGGCGATTTCTTTTTCGACCAAGGCGCGAAACTTACATACACATCGATTTACCGATTCCTGAACAACCCGGAGAGAGTTCTCGGCACTGCTGGTCTATATGGCGCGGCCATTATTACCTGGAGCAGGTCTATATTCGCATTAGCATTGGTTAGTCATATTTTGACGCTTGGGTTCCTACACTTCGTGGAGAAACCGCATATGCAGAAGATCTATGGACGTAACCTTAGACGCGAAGCCGGCTTGACGAAATTCATCAAGAAGTCCCTACCACCTCCCGTTGTAGAATGGCAGTCGGGTGTAGGTAAAATTATGGATGAGACTTCTCACTTTGTTGAAGATTTCTTAGATACGGCGCGGCCGAAGTTGGCGGCGGGCGTTTCGACGATAGTGCGAGATACAACGGCGCTCTTTAACAAATACCCGGCGCGTCTCACTTTGACCAAGCTTTCACCCGATCTTGCAGGTTTCAATCCGAAGCATTATTCCCTTACTGTAGAAGGAGAGTCATCTGGATTTTCTGCTTTGTCGGAACGGGCTAGTGGTAAGGAAGGCACGGCTGGTCGGTTCCCAAATGAGCTGAAAACAATGATTTTCGAATATGGTGCTCCAATCAGGGTTAAGTGGAGAGCACCAGCGCATCACGGCAAGAAAGATTGGATCGGTCTATACATGGTGGCTGACAACCGCTCTCGTGAAATTACCGAACTTTCGTCACTTGGACGATGGATTCCGGCGGTTCCTGGCCAATTCCAGTCCACTATAGCTGATAGGGGTATCTTAACTTGGGACCAGCCTGTTGAAAGTTCCGAGAGCAAAGGTGCTAACCTCGTATCTGGTGAGATGGTATTCTCGGGAGATAAACTATGGTGGACCCAAGGTGTTTTCGAGTTCCGTTATCATCACGACGGTAACCACAACGTGATGTCGATTTCGCAACCATTCGAGATACACATCGGCCGCTTTGACTATGAAGATATTGAAACAGACCATGAAGCTACGGTCCAATCGGCTATCGAGTCTGCTCTTCTACCGGTTACACAGAACTGCTTCGACAGAGACCCTGACATCGCACCTAGTACCCCATCAGAACCGTTCGGAAGCCATTTGGAACGGGACGGCAGATACTCTAAGAGATTGGTCTATGCCATCCACCAGATGTTCGGTATTGAGTTTGCGCCGGCTGTGGTTACTGCTGATGGGAATGTGAGAAACTTAGCTTGGCGAATTCATAATGCTAAGCAGGTTTTGGTGAGTGATGCTACCTTAACAAGATTTGCAACGAAACTAACCCTTCATTAAGGCGCCTTACAGCATGTCTTGCTCCAGAGGAACGACGACACCGGCGGCAGAGAAACCGGGTAGCCCTTGATTATAAGGGTAGTAGTAATTGGGAAATACATGATGCTCAAAATATTACGCAACATTGGAGGGGAGTTGGAAGGTTGGAGTGTGGAAGTCTCGTTTCAAAATTTTGTTTATTTTCGATTTCCACTTTCTGCAGGCAAAGCATGAGCATATCGCATTTAGTATTGTTTTGCATTTGTTGAGATACCAAATTACATGACGTTGGAGGGTATGATATGATGAGGGGCGGATGGAAGGATGTTACAAGTTTGGAAGGCATTGGTTGGCTGGATATCTGTAAACGAGTTGCATTACACGTGTTTAAAATGTCCAGTCTAGCGGTGTTTGGTAGTGCGGCATATCGTGCATGGAGGTTTCTTTGATTCATGTTATGTTTTTGTGGTTGAATGGAGCAAGCATTTATTTTGAGCTGATTGAAATGGTAGGTATACTGGTTCGTTGAGTCGGTATATTTGTATATGACCTGCACATTGTCACATAACCCGACGTAGAGATGTCATAGCGATAGTAAATAAATGAAAAATATTGCTATACTACTTGTTGCCAACTAATAATGCCCTTCAATATGAATGTCTGCTTGCTTCAACATAATGAGGGATGTTCTTAATTAAAGTGCGATATACATGCACCTATCACGGCATGTTACGGTACCTTGTGTGATATTAGCTTCATGTTTATAAAGACGTCAAACTTTGCGGTAGCTGCCGAGTTGCCACGAGGGAACCATGGCATTGCTTTATTTAGTTGACGCCCGATTAATTTAAATAGCATGAGCACGAGCGTTCGTTGCGGCTGTCAATCACTAGAATAAAAACCAAAATATTAAAATAGACGTAGATAATAAACGAGTAGTCAACCTATTCGCTGTTTATTGTCTACTACCACAACTACCACAACTACCAACTCACCCAACTGTTGTTCTTAAACTACCAAGCCCCTTACCAAGTTACTTTTACTAGGTCGACTTAACCTAAACCGGGCGATCCCAACCTCCCATCATCAACATTTTCTAAACTTCCACCTTGCCCACCACTTAGTAGACCTGCACTTCCACTCCCACTCGCGCTCCCGCCAGCACGTCTAGCCTTCGCACCTGCCTTTAGTTGCTCCCACTTCTCGCGGTAGCGAACAAGATTTGCGCGCGCCTTATTATAATTTCGTTCCGTCTCTTCCATCTGCTTCGACACCGCTAATAACTGTTCCTCAAGTTCACGATTACGTTTCGCTAAAGCCTCGTCTGATAAACCTGCGCTCGGAGTTGGAGTTTTACTACCTCCGGCTGTACTACCGGATGCTAAAGGGGAACTCGGACGCATAAGCCTCATACTTTCCGCCAATCGCATACCTGAATTCTGGGACATCGACTCGAAAGCATGGAGGCGTTTACTCAGCTTATCTAGCATATCTTTCAAACTTTTGTTCTCGAGATACAGCTCCTCGACCACATTTGTCAGATCCTTATCCCGGTCTGCGCGCGCCTTACCAGCAAGTCTCTGGACGGCGGGAGAGCGCGGAAGTTGAGATTCCTTGGCGTCAACAAAGTCATCCTCGTCTAAGTCTTCGGGAATGCTACTGTTAGCTTCCATGCGCCGCTTCTCCTTGTCAGCAAAGGTCAGAATGCTAGCATAGGAGGCAGTGTGCCCGCTTGTCGGGACCACGTAAAACGAGTCGTTAGCGGATTGGCCATCACGAGATACAGCACGTAGGGCGGCTTTCGAGTAGATTTTTCGGAGGTCGGGTTCCGCGGATACTGATGGGGATCCCTTGACTCTGATACGCTTTTGGATGGGCGACTCGGGAGCGGGGATTGGTGTGGGGACGGGAGCTGGTGGTTCAGGCTCTTCTTCGCTGACGAGGGGCAGGCCTGCGAACGCAAGTGGTGCAGAAATCCTATTAATGATGTTACCGAATGCGTTGTAGAACCTGGAGAATCCCTCGTCGCTAGTATCAGCCTGTTTAGTTCTTTTATCTTTGCCTAGCGTAGTGTCTTGTGAACCCGAGCTGGATTGTCTCGTAAGCCTCTCCTTTTCTGGTGAGACGACGGAATTTGGTCTATCAGAGTTATCTAGCATGTTCTGCATTTTGGTCCTTGTGCCACTCCTCCGTGATGCGGTTTCCATATTTCCTGGGGCCTCAGTGTTGGAGACACTCGGGCTTAATGGTTGAGATCTATATTTAGATCGAATACCACGAGCAGATGCCAGGTTACTGGCAATGGACGCCCCTAGATCGCGAGCAGGGTATCGCGGCTGTTTCGGTAGCGTAGGCAAGGGTTGGGTGTTCTTCTCATTTGAAGAACTACTATCGTGCTTCACGGGGGATGTAGAAGAGAGCATCTCCGGGACGGAATCATCTTTCTCACTCGCTTGGGAATCATTTTCGGATGATGCCTGAGAGGTGGGAGGCTTGCCCGGTATCTGAAGAAGCTCGGAAAGTCTTCGATGATGTTGCTCGAGTAGTTTCAATGTACGTAGTGCTTCTACACTACTAGTATTTCTCGCAGCATTGGCAAATTCACCGGCGGCTCTCGTATGTTCGTTCACCGCGACGGTGGTATCGGACGTATGCGTAGCTACAGATGCGGCTTTCGCATGATCATGCGCCTATGATTCGATGAGTTTAGCTGTACTATGACGAATGATAAGGGCTATAGCTTTGAAACCAGAGAGTATAATCCTACCTTGATTAAAGGAGACGACTCCATGTTGTGAAATGAGGCAGTGAGGCGAAGAACATCTACTATTAACAAAGGGGTCTAGCTCCCCATAAGAGAATTAGAAACCGAAGGGTCTTCTTGTGTATGACGATAGGCGTCGAAAGTGGATTTGGAAAATACGTCTGCGATAATAGCGTGCACAAGGCAAAAAAAGCTAGGGGCGTGCGAAGGAGAAATGAACGAAACCGTTTTCTATGATTACGAAATTTGGTAACGGAGTTTAGCAAATCGGGGCGGGGTGAAGGGGGGGGAAAGTTAGTTAGGGGGAATGACCCAGTTAATTACTTATTACATTAGGTAAGGAACATCATTGGGTCAAATATGGGTTTAATTATGGGCCACGTAGCAGGGATCGGTGACTTCCGGTGAATTTGCCCTTCCAATTGGGAATTCCAACTGAAGGAGTAGGTACGTGCAGAATTACAAGGTTTAATGTACGTACAAACGAACTATGTGGGGTACTTAGAGGCCTGGAACCACCTGCCCTTTTTCCTTTGTTACGATGTGACGGTGTTGAAACGAAATGCCAAAGGTGGGGAGTGCGACTGCTGCAAATGTGGTTACGATATCTGCGGAAGTGTCCAATGTCCCTGCCGCGTGGCTGGGTGAATCTAACCTTATTTATGATTCAATTGGTTACTCCTTAAGTTCTTCTAGGGTTACTTAGGGGTTTTTTTCAGTTTTGATTCATGGAAGCCTAGCTTGTCCCACTATCCCGATGTTCCCCCTGGTCTGATCGATTGAATGAACGAGGTCGGGGATTGATTGGGTGGTTTATCTATGTTACAACGAGGAGCACTCAGGAACCTTCGATTCATAGATTTCAACCCCCTTCTTGTTACACCTGGCAACTTTTTGTCCATCATCTACCTAAAAATCATAAATCCTTACTCATAGCTAGGATTAAGAAGTACTCGTCTTACTAGTCAGAATCGCATCGATACGAGAAACGAGGGAAAAAAAGAGGGAATCATCCTACCTATGTATCATCATCCAATGGAGGGACAGCTCCAGGGTATGACGACAATATCGCGATGAAATAGCAACAGCTACTACTTAGCGCAACTCGACTCGGCTCGGTCTTTGTCAACCTATCTACCTCCATGCGCTTCTTCTAGCTGCCTATTAACGATTTAATAATTTGACAATTAATACAGAGCAGCAGTTATTCGTATCAGTTTCGCTCTTTTTAATCTACTGATACTTTCAATATACAGTAGCCTTCTGCCGTGTTACACTCATTTTCGTCGCCGTTGGCCGTCATTACCGGGGTTAACAGTCGTCATCAGCAACCCGTCATCATGGATGTCGCAAACTCTAACAATTCTTCAAGCAAGGTGGGAAAACTACTTCCTAAGAAGCTGGCTGCGAGACGATGGAAGAAACAACCTTCAAAAGAGAGTTTCGGGTCGACAGCAAGTAGCGACGATTATCCTCGCGGAAGAAGTCCAAGTACTCGAGATCGTGGAAATAGCGATTCCTTTTCTACTATGCAGTCCAATGAGATGGTAGAAGATGATCATGATGGAAAGGAAGAGCCTGAAGAGAGCCCTGAGGCTTACGATTACGACCGAAAAGATTCGTAAGTCTTATTTTATCTCTATATTTCTATTACATACACAACGCAATCGTGATCATTTATTCCCCATTCATTCCTATCCATACTGCCCACTGTTGCATTTATGATCTTATATGGTCTCATTTATGTACATCGTCATATTATATCGTATTATACTTATCCCATATACACATACATATCGGCTTTATTATTCCTTATTCCTTGATACCTACCGCCTCTTTTCATATCTATCTATTCCTTGCACTTGAGACTTTGTATGTGGTGTAAGTCGCAGAGCGAAACATACATACATTAATCGACTTACCTACAAACAATCTACCCCTCCTGTTTCCCTCTTATTTCTAGCCAAGCTGGCCAGGTTCATGGATTATTTTGTGAGACAAAAAAGCACTTTACGCAGAAATTGAGCAAGTTAATTGCTTTAAACTCTGCTGAAGGATAGGCTTCATCATCCCTAGCCGTCAAAAAAATTGGGCGGTGCAGGCGTAGTTAATCTAGTTGACTCCGCCCTGTACGTAGGCCTATTTTATTAGTTACACGCCTCCTCCCATATTCCGTTTTCCGTCTTGCTAGTCAGCTCGTATGGGTCCCTGGCTTGTCTCTACTTCTGTTTCTCTTCCTCTTGCCCTCTTCGTCTTATCCTATTAATCCTCATATACCGAAACCCTTATTGCGCCGTTTTATTACAGCACCAAAATTGTGGCTTTGCGTCCACATGGCGTTGCAGTGGTAAAATAATCCAAGGGGAGCACGGTCATTAATTTGACAGGCAACAGCTTTATTAACCTTGTCGTGCCAAACAGTTCTTCGGCTCGGCCCACCGTTCCCTCAACTCATCCTTCCCAGATTGGACAGTTGACAACATCGTCGCCCATTATTCAGGCTGACCACCTGCCCGAGGTCCTGAATTCGGGTCCCGACGACCAAAATAATCTTTCACGTTCTGCGACTTATTCCATTCCTAGTAGCTTTTCTAACGAGCCGGCTCGTCAATTATTGCCTACTAAGACTGGGTTACAGCTACCTCACGACTCCTCAAATCGTTCGAAATCACCCGCCGGCAGGTTTAGAGACGCTTTTAGGAGTAAAAGGAATGTGAGCGGTGTACAGGACACCGCCAACAGTAGCCAGACGGACCTTGCCGATCATCAATCAGCAAACACCTTGACCCAGAAGTCAACCAACGGGTCCGCCTCTCGCCCAGGTTCTAGCACGAACTCCCAGTCCGACACAAATGATACCAAGTTAACGACTTCGGGACGATTGCAACGAACCAAAAGCCCTGCACCTATTAGTATTCGCCCTCGTACGCCTCCGCCTTCCGAACCCCCAGCTCCCGTCATCGTAAATACGCCACCAACACCGACTCATTCGCACCGTTCGCGAAAGAGCTCGTCCGCCAGCACGAGCTCCAACCCAAATGTGGTTGTTTCGCCCTCTGGTAATATGATATCACACCGAAGAGCGAGATCAGCATCCAACACGAGTATCGGTCCGAGCAAACTTTCAAACATTACACTGGCTCCTCTAACACCAACTCCCGAGACTTCGGTACCCACGACTCCTGGGAGTGGCTTTTTTTCTAGCATGCTATCTGCTGCACAGAACGCTGCCAATACTTTCAGTAGCGCCGTAACTACCAATCCTGGTCCGAGCGGGAATAAACCAAAATCAAACGTTCCTAGAGAAGGGCAACCGAGTGACGACGATAAAGTAGAAGTTGAACCATCCGTCGAACAATCGGAGGGCTCTACAATGGGTGATAAAGAGCCAGCTGTTAGGACTCTAGGTATGGGTGACTTAAGCCTTAGCCAACTAGGGATCCAAGAGCCTGGGAGTGCTGCGAGCACTCAGAACGGCTCTAAACTGTCTGATATCGCGACCGAATCTCGGACAAGATCCGAGTCAGCGCCTGCGGATACTGCGGCCGTATCTCCTAATGATGACGGCCATTCCGATCGAGCGCGGTCTATCTACGAGACAGCTAGTACAACACCCCCGGGTAGCGTTTACGACGAGAAAACAGGAATTCAACGTAGTAATAGCATTAGGAGTGCCCTCGGTCGTAGACGAAAACGTGGTAGTACTGGTGGAACTGCAAACACGGGAACGACGATCGGTGCAGCTATTGCAGCAGCTAATGCCTCTGTTGCTCACCCTTCGGCGGCTGGAAGCGTTCCAAAACTTACGGGATTTGCTGTCGCGAGTAAGAAACGCAATCGGGATTTCCACCTCGCCTTCAAGAGTGTTCCTGATGACGACTATCTTATCGAGGATTATAGTTGTGCACTACAACGAGAAATCCTCCTGCATGGTAGACTTTATGTCTCGGAAGGACACTTATGCTTCAGCAGTAACATCTTCGGTTGGGTGACAAATCTCGTTATGAGTTTTGATGAGATTGTGTCTGTTGAAAAGAGGAGCACCGCTTTAGTCTTCAAAAACGGTCTTATGATCTCAACTCTTCACGCGAAACATGTGTTTGCTAGTTTTGCCAGCCGAGATTCTACTTATGACCTAATAGTCAATATTTGGAAGCTTGGACACCCATCTCTCCAGAGCTCATTGAATGGTGTATCTTTAGAGGGTACGGGTGGTGATAAGACTGAGAAGGTAGATGCTGATGTCGCAGTCGGAAGCCGGAGCGCTACGGCGTCCGAGGATGAGGAGAGTGTAGACGGAGAAGACGTATATGATGAAGATCAAGAGGAGGACGACGCTCCCGAGGTAACACAGCCAGCTGATGGAAGCCCGGCTGATACGGACGGCGAAAAGGCTGGCATGAGAAAGGTCTCTGGTGCGCTTGCCACCAATGGTAGCGTCGAGAAAACCGACTTTGCTCCTGCCGCGTCCGGTACGGCCGATTTCCCCGGGCCACCTGCACATGCGCCGACGGATTGCGGAGATGCGGACAGTCATTTTGATATCGTTACGGGCGATGATATAATTCCTGCTCCATTGGGCAAGGTGTACAATCTGTTATTTGGCCCGGCTTCTGTTACATGGATGTCGAAGTGGTTAACTGTCGAACAAAAATGCACAGACCTACAGATGGAAGACAAGAAAGGACTGACCCTGGACAACAAGACCCGAAGCTTCACCTACATCAAGCCGTTGTATGCTTCGATAGGACCCAAGCAGACTAAGTGCATAATCAGCGAGACGCTAGAAAATCTAGATCTTGAGAAAAGCGTAAATGTGACGGTTGGAACGCAAAATCCGGATGTGCCTAGCGGGAACGTGTTTAGCGTGAAGACGAAGTATTGCTTATATTGGGCTGAGAACAATGCGACTCACATTACTATCACGTGTACTATAGAGTGGACGGGTAAAAGCTGGCTAAAGAGTAAGTCTCCTACGATTTCTTCTAATAGTTGGTGATACTAACTTTCGTAGGTCCGATTGAGAAGGGAGCCAAAGAAGGCCAGACTCAATACTGCAAGGATATCTTCGCCAGCTTGAAGGCAGCAGTCTCTACTGCCCCTCGCCCTGTTGCAGTTAATGGCGGAGCAATTAAAGGCAAGAAGAAGCGAGTTAAGGGCAAGCTACACCAAGTTTCTAAGGAAAGCTTAGGTGGTCCATCGGATTTGGTGGTTTCGAAGTCCGAAGACTGGGGTGTGTTCGAGCCAGTTCATGGCATTCTAGGCCCGCTCGTGGATATTATCAAACCTGTTCTCACCGGCAATGTTGTGTATGGGCTGCTTGTCGGATTATTGGTAGCGACATGGTTCGGTTTTGGTTTTAATGGACAACCGAGAGTCACGCCATACGGACGAGAATTGGATTTGATGCAGTATGCGGAGCGAGCTGTTGCTTACGAGGAGATTTGGAGAAGAGAAGAAAGTGATTTGTGGGATTGGTTGGAGGATAGAGTGGGCCTTCATCGTATGAACGAGGGGGCCATGCCTATACGCAAGCGAGTATTAGAGCCGCGAACAGTGGAAGACAAACTACGAGAAGAACGTATGAGCGAGCGAGAAATCGAAGAGGCTATCAAGGTGACAGAAGAAAAATTACAAGTTTTAAAGTCCGTCGTTGAGCGGAAGAAAGGGCCTGGAAAGTCTAGCGGATACGGCAGGCCGACAACGAAAGTACCAGTAACCGAAAGGTAGTAGCAAGGAGCAGGGGAAGAGAAGGAGGAAGAGTTGGAGAGTTGAGGATACCACTACAAGACACATCACACATTCCATCGCATTACAACTTACATTCACACATACATACGGGGCTATGACAGCCAATCCCATATGTCAACTAACATGACGACGCCACGACGAAGCACCTTTGACTTATCTCCTTTTATTGTACCTCATAGCCTGTATTGTATTCGAAAAGCATCCTTTGTTCGGTTTCGTCTTTGCCCTGGTCGTTGTGGTTTTGCCGGGTTAGATATTCTCAAATTTAGGTATCTTGTAATATAGGACGGAATTTATAACATTGTTGAAAGAAGTTCTCTGTGGTAGAAAGAGATGGAATATATTTTGATTCCTTAACGTTGCTGTGTTTTATTTACTGCTTGCTACCGTTCCGCTGAATGATACACTATACTGCCCTAATCATCTATCTAATGACGTCGCTGTCCCTGAATTAGGTACCTTCCCGGGTACCTTAGGAGTACCTATAAGGAACGGAAATAGCGACATAATAGCGGCTAATAGTGGGGTCTAATTAACGCGTATCAGCGTAACAAAAACCGCGTCTTCAATCGCGGGGTCCCTATCCGAAATATTCACAACTACATCATTTTCACTCGTTTCATCCAACCGGTGTTTTATTCCTGACACATCTACTAGCAAGAAATTCTTTCGCTTGACATAAAAATATTGACTTACGGGGTTGTTTCCTCTACCAAGTCCCAAAAGAAAATTAGAGACTAGAAAAGCCTACCTCGTTGATTCATTTCACGATGGAAGACGACGACATCCCCAACCACTATGACGATGGCAATCGTGCATTCCTCCAAGCCTTTTTGGCTCGAGGTACCTTAACATTCGCACAAGCCCAACCTATCCTCGCTGCTATATTTACAGCACATGACAAGATCGAGTACCAACACCGCCAAGAATCCCGTCGAAACCGAGTCTCCCGCCGCGAAGACGACGAAGAAAGCGATAACGAAGAACCAGAAGTAACCCAGCCGGCCCAAGTCACACGCGAAGACTTCAACTCATACGTATCCGCTGCCTCGGAAAAACTCTCCCCTTTCGATATGGAGATCCGCGGTATCACGCATCAAGGTAGCGGGGAGCGTATCTTCTGCTTGGTGAACACGACTTCGGATCCATTGACGCGACTTGCGACCTTGAGAACTGGCGAGGAGATCGTGTTTGTGAGACGGGTTATTGATGCTATGTTCGATAAATACAATACACCGCGTATGGAACTCATGTGTCTGGATTTCATGCAGGCGAATAAACTACGCAGCGCGCCGCGCGAGGAAGAAACTGAGAGCCCTGAAAATGGGGAGGGAGGAGATGGTGAGGAGGGGCAGCAGACGCAGATGGTGGGCGGATTGAAGGGGCTTAAGAGTAGTGAGGTTGAACACGTTATGCAGGGGCTCGTGGATGAGGGATGGGTTGAGAGAAGTCGTGCTGGTTTTTATTCCCTTGCCCCACGTGCGCTGGCGGAATTGCGGTCTTGGCTTGTTGATGCGTATAATGAGCCGCCTGACCCGGATGCGGATGAGGAAGATAATGCGGGACAGTGGCAACGGATCAAGTTCTGCGAGGCATGCCGCGAGATTGTGACTTCGGGACAGAGATGCGCAGAGCGGGATTGTAATGTTCGATTACATGACCATTGCGCGGATACGTTTTGGCGTATGAGGAGGGAGAATACTGGGCAGAGGGAGAAGAAGTGTTCACGTTGTGAGAAGGAGTGGACCGGACGCCATTTTGTGGGCGAGAGAGCTGTTACCGAGACTGAGGCTTACCAGCGCGGACGCAGACGGAGTGGAAGGCCTAGTGGTGGTGGGAGAAGTAGTCTTGCGGAGAGGATTGTTGAGGAGGATGAGGATGAAGACGAGGAAGAGGAGTGATCTGATCATGAGGTTAAGTCTAGGTCTGGAGTCACGCTTGATTTATGAACTACGAAGCTTTTCTTTACTAGATTTCTACGTTTGCCATTTGCTGGCCGGAAAAGGGATATGAGAAGGGATCGGAAAAGCAACGGAAGGGAATTATTAGTTAGACACAGATACCCTTGGGACTTTGTTCCCCTGAAAATGAACTACATATACGGACTACACCTTTTGTCTTCGGGATTCTTCTATATGTACTCGCGGCTTACTTGAGGAGTGTCTGTCACTAGGGAAATAGTATAATCACTAGGAGTTGTGTTAGGCTGATATTAGCCAAACTAATCTATATATATGCTTTATTAATCTTCTAATCGTGAAAACCGGATTCACCAAGAATAATCCAACTACCTCTAAAAGAATTCTTATATTGTGAGGCCTCACAATTCATAGTACTAAAGGGGGCGAAATGATAGGGGAGCTCTCGCCACAACCAAATGTGGCTGTGCAAATGACGTACCAAGGTAGTACAACCCACCTAGGTAAGGTTTTCCCTTGCTGACATCTGATGGAACAATGGCAATCGCATCTTGAAATAATAACCAATCAATTGGAATCCGACCGATAAAGATAAAACAGGCTCTACTTCAGATTATTTTAGACTTAACTTTCCAACAATTGGAGACAATTCCTTTTTATCTTCCCTCTTTCTCATATCCAAACCCACACTCATCTTCACATCTACCCCACCAATACACAAAATCAATCACCAATATGTTGGAGTTCTTCACGTACAAGAAGGTGAAGAAACATCGAGAAGAAAAGGCAGAGAAGCAAAAATTAAAGAAGGAGGACAAACAAAATGAAAAAGGCAAGGAAAAGGAAAATAACGGAAAGGATAAAGTAACAGAAGATGCTCCCAAACCTAGTGCCGAAGTCAGCCATTCCGAGTCTAGCAGCTCTCCTGAGATCGTATTGGAGACTGCTGAGGGTACGCCCATCCTCGATAAAGAGGACGAAAAGTTCCTCGAACGACTTACATCTCCGTCAGATACCCACTTCGACGACGACGATGAGACGCCACCGCCTCTACCACCCCGCATTAAGACTCCTGTTATCGAGCTAGACGATAGTGACGCATCTAGCTTCGCTAGTAGGGACGAGATTAAGAGTAATAAAGCGGAAGCCTCTTCTACGAAAGACGATAGCAAAAGCAAGGAAAAAGAGAAAGGTAAAGACAAGGACAAGGACAAACACGACAGTGACAAAACCAAAGACAAACAAAAGCGTTTCTCCTTCGTGACGAACCTCTCGCGGGGTATGTCGCTTAAGCGCAAGCCCGACCACAAACACCATAAAGATGGAAAAAACCAAGATCAAGACAAAAACCACCTCTCCGTCCCCTCCGCCTCGACTGGTCTTGACTCCGATGAAGCCCGCAAGGAGGAGGAAGAACTAGCGCAAGTACTCTCGGGCTTAGACCTCGTCGCATCCGCCGAAGACGACGGTAAATCCGACAAAAAGGACGGCAAAGATGGCAAGAAAGGAAAAGAATCCTTCTCCCTTTCTCGCGAATCCGCTGAGACACTACGACGCTTCACGCAAGTTCTAAAGGATCTTGCCAATGGTGTACCGACCGCGTACCAGGACCTGATGTCCCTTATCGAGGACCGAGACGGCGCTCTGGCCAAGTCATATGAGAAGCTACCCCGTTCGTTACGCAAGCTCGTTGCCAAGCTTCCGGATAAACTTACGTCGTCATTGGCGCCTGAGTTACTAGCGGTAGCGGCCGAGGCGCAGGGTCTAGAGGCGGGCGAGGAAGCGACGAAGAAATTGCTCAGCGCAGGGAATTTGCTGGAGTTAGTCACGAAACCGGGTGCTGTGGCGGGGTTGCTTAAGGGTATTGTGAATGCTTTGAAGGTACGCTGGCCCGCGGCCATGATGGGCACCAATATGCTTTGGAGCGTGGCGGTGTTTTTGCTATTGAGCGCTTTGTGGTATTGTTATAAGAGGGGCCGGGAGACGAGGTTAGAGAAGGAGGCCGCAGATGCAGCTGCGGATGGAGCGGCCGTGGTAGAGGTCGAGATCGAAGAGGTGGACGATGAGGGTAAAGGGAAGAAAGATGAGGTTGATGGAAGTACAAAACTCATTGAGGCTCCAGAACAGAATAAGTCGCAGCCGACGGTATCTGTGTCTGGTCCTGAGGCTTCTGAGGGGAAGAAATGAATGATACGGAAAGGAGATTGAGATGAATGAACAATAAGAGAAAAAAGTTAGAGGAAAAAGAAACCGAGTGAGGACTTGCGATAGCTATTTGGGGCGTTTCCACGGCACTTATGAGGTAACGATATTGTTGAGGTACGACCGTGATGGATAATTATAACAATGGCTAATAATGGTGATACCCGGGTTACACGCGAGGAATTGATTGATAGAATGGATTTCGTTTTCCAGCTGTGGTTTTTAGATTTAGGAGAGCATATAAAAATAATGATGGTATAAAATTATACGACTTGCCACCTCATAGATTTATATGCACAAGTGATTTATCGCAATCAAGTAACATCCACAGCAGGAAATCCCAATGAGTGCAGACTTATTTATTTCCATTCAGAGATATCATGAAGATACCAAAGTAAACATCGCAAAGTACATCGCATTTATCATTTACAAGCCTTAACTCCACAAGAAGTCCATGGTATCTCTGAGATTATGCCACTATGTAGTTCCACCCTTGCGCAGGCCGAAATTTTCACCCCCAATGAAGACCAAGTTTGTGAAACACACCGTCAAATCGAATCTTGTGGGATATCATCGTAGCTTTTTCTCGACTCTATTTTCCTCTTTCCCTCATTCTCGCGCGTAAATCGAACATGCCCTCTCAGGTGCCCTCAAATAAGTAAAAGCGGCCTTTGTAAAACCATCTCATTTCTTCGGTGCTCTCGACCTCAACGTAGAAAGTCGCCTATTCGTCAAAGCCCTCTCCCTCACGGCAAGCGAAGGCGACGACATCACTTTCGGCGTCGCCTTACCGGCAGAAGCACGCCTAACAGTAGCGGGCCTTTTATTAGTACTGGGAATGCTAGTAGGTGTCTTCACAGCACTAGCACAAGTACCTTTAGAGCTGGGTCGTCGTCTCTTGGGCGGCGGGTTCTAATCGTCGTCCTGGACGAGCTCCTTGATTTCCTCTCTACCGGGGGCGATACCAGCTGTCGTCTCAGCCTTCGCATCGCGACCTCCGGTACGGTCGATTACTCGTGCACCATCCCGCATCCAGAAGTCCACCTCGTCGACTACGTCCGCGACTACATCTTCAACTACCTGCTCGTCGTATCGCTCGGCTACCGACCGGACTTTATCCAGGTTATTCTTCGATGCCGACGATGCTACGTGCACGGTATCCACGTCTACCATATCAACATCCCCGTCTCCGTCGGCGTCGAGGATGCCGGGAGGGGGATACCAGAATTCTGGGCCGAAGTTAACTTCGGCGGCACCACCGCGGAATACGCTGATCGCGGGGTAGTACCCCGCCATACCATCATCCATTCCCTCTCGTGCGCCGACTTGAGCCTGGGGCTTTGAAGCCGGCGGGAGGAAGGCCAGAAGGTCGGTGAAGGGTGTACCCATTAATGTACCGTTCTTATAGATGCGGATACATGACTTTGGGAGCGTACGTAGGGCGGGGACTTGATGGTGTGGATTGGGTCGGTCGGCGGGTCTGCTACCTATTGTACCCGAAGGTCCTGCAGGAGATGGGTTCATGAGATCCTCTAGCTCCTTTGTTGTGTGGTAGTCGATCTTCTCGAGGTATATATGCTGCTTAAATCGAATCGGTATTCGGTCTCGGACGATATTAGCTGCTTCCGTTGCGGCCGGCTCCTCCTCGACTAGTAGATCCACGGCTGGGTTGTATTGACCCTGTACGACCTTTCGGTGCAGGGTCTCGGATGGTAATTGTATCTCGAGTCCGATCACGTCTCCTTCCTTAATTTCTTCACCGGGAGGGAAGAAGTCCTTCGGTCGCGACATGTGAACCTTCTGACCTTGTACATCTCGAATACCGTAGCTGTAGGCGTCAAATCCAACCGGCGCGTCTAACGAAGCTTCTCGTCTTGCAAACCCCATGCGTACGTGACCATGCGACTCGGCATTCCCATCGGATTTGTCCTTAACAGTACCTCTCGTGATTTTGCATTCCCAGTACCATCGACCTTGACGTATAGCAACATTGGCTCTTGCGGACCTGAATCCCTTATCTGTGGTTATGTGTCGACCCGATTGGTCCATATACATATGAGTAGCAGCATCTTCGAAGCTGATATGGGCGCCGTAGGGTTCGGGTTCGGTTTGTCGGTAGTAGAAAGAGGAAGGGAAGGCAGGGTCGGCTATGCAGTGGAGGTAGTGAAAGCTCTTTTTATTGTAGACACTATACGATAAGTTAGTGGTGGGTATTAACAGGATAATATCCTGAATGCGACTCACTGTTCAGATGTCTCGTAGAATTGGATAGTAGAACCATCGGGAGCGGTGACTTCGTGGTGGGGAGTAAAGACGGGACCTCGAGCGGTTTCGAAATCAGAAGGCTTCGGAGGTGCTAGCTTATAACGCAAAGGCGAAGACTCGTTCGGGGGAAGCTCTTTGATCTTTGGGTCGGGTGTAGCTCTAGAGCTGTCGGCACCTACGCCTCCCTTGGATTCTCGTTTCTTGGACGCGTCCTTCGGTTTCCTACCTGGTTTCTCACGCGCCATTGTTGTTGATGAAACGTCGTCATGCGATTTAGTAGGTTTTATATCAGGATTAGGGTTAAGTGGTGAAGAGACGGGAGGCGCGTAGTCATCCTCGAGGGGTCGTTTTTGCGGGACGGATATGGGGAGGACAGGTGCTGGGATGGGAGTGATTTGACGTTTTGGTAGATCCACGTCTGTAGCCATGGTGATTCCAAGAAAAAAAAAACAATTTTAGTTTTAGACTAATTCTTTTAAGTTTATATTCCACTCCAGAAAACCGGGGCACCGGGGCACCGGGTATCAAATGTATGGAAATCGACGCGATAATTGGGACAGGTGGATGAAAGAATGCGGCTGGGGAAGTTTATTTGAGATTGATGAACCTTGTTTGCGGCTCCTAAGGCCTAGCTTATTTATTAGCTTAACCTTCCAGTGCTATTACTTTAGCGTGTTACTACGTTATTAGCGAACCATCATCTCCAATTGAAGTACCTATCGCATGTCTCCAGAGGTGTATCCCAATAAAGTACAGTCTTCTCTCAGTTTCAAATGTAGCAAGACATTAATGATTCGACCAACCTTGTACCAATAATAAAACGTAGCATAAAGCAATTTAAAATATCCCATTTGACAATGGCTGGTCGTCAAGACATCAACTGCATTTGCCCATTTAATACAAGCAGCATAAACTCGTCGCACCCTGCAGTCATATAACCGGAACTATTCGTCGCAAATAAGTAAAATGATAGATCATATAAAAATAAGAAATAATAATTATTACTTACTACAAAAGTAAATAGCAAAAAAGCGACCACCACGGGACTCGAACCCGCAACCTCAGTCTATCACTGCCTATAACAGCCAGAATTAACTAGACTATAATAGGAGGACCGCGCGCTACCATTGCGCCAAGCAGTCATATCTGTGTACAGTATGGTGTGCTCTGTTGTGGACACAAAGGAATTACTCTCCATTCGTCAATTACGACGAATTTTGGTAAATTTGCGACTCTTATTTAGCTTTATAATACTAATTCTCAGTGGTCATGCGCTAGTCCGACCCCTCCATTCCTCGAGTGGGGCACTAGTCACTGTGTAAGACATCGTTTGGAAGCTAGGTTGTTCGGGGGGTGTAAGGGAGGAGGGAATGCGTAAAAATGCTAAACGTAAAAAGATTGGCTGCGTCATCTGTATAAATCGGTACATCTGTAAGCCTTCACTTTAATTGAGAAAGCCGGAGTTTTTCCAATCAGTTCATGCTACACGGTGCGGAGTACTCAAGTTCGGCTTCTTTTTTAAGTTCTCATTAGGCTGATGAATGTATCCATGTATCGAATTATACATTTAGTGCATTTCATACCTAGGTACGCACTTGAATTGGTATGGCCTTGGGTATAGGTATATTATATCGTGACGAATGCCTTATAAATTGCCGTATTGTCAGAACCTTAGGATGAGAATGTGTCGAGCGAGGCCTATGGTTTTTCCCCTTTCTTAAAGATAGACCGAAAAATATAAGGTCCGGGCCTCTGTCTATATTGAGGCGGTCGTAAATATCGAGGTTCTTGTAAGGACGCCAAACACGTAGCGATGGCGTAGTCTCCGTCGTGGCTGATACTAAGACGTGCGTATTGTGTTTTATGTATAGCACCACCATCGATAATAGCTACGGGTGGGCTCTTGTCCATGATATTCAGTCGCGACCCGGGTAATAGAGCCTCATAGGTAATGGTAATATCCTCAAAGTAAATCTTTCGTTGGTTATAAGCTTTGATGACAGCTTCTTTTGCCGCGAACCTGATGATATACCGAGTATAAGCTGCTTGTCTCGAAGGGGGTATATGACAACTGTTACACTAACCTGCCTGCTATGAATTCGGCCGCATTTGCTAATTGTTTTTCCTCATTTATTCGTGGGATGAGCTTGTTTTCTCGGTGTTCGAGAAATTTGAGGAGCGAAGCAGCCTTAGGATCGCGCCGCTCTTTAAGGGAAAGAATGCGTTTAACAAACCGGATAGCTCTATGAGAAGCTAGGTTTTGATATATTCTAGAAATTTTACAAATGTCGGTACCGATGCCGAATGGGGGAAGATATCTAAGAGGATGCATTATGAAAAATAGATTAGATGAGAACGAGTTAACGCTTAAATCATTCATATAAATCATCTAGGCATCCTTTTGGTACCTAAAAAATAAGTTGTAGGGCACCTCCAACAGAACACCATAAGCCCCAGAAGGCGCACACCTTGCTCGTTCTTATCGTTATCGCAATAACAAAAGCCGCTTAAAATTCAAGAATGTCTTCATTCTTTCAATTATCTTCTCAATTGTCTCAATCTAAATATTAAATGCCTATTTTCTGTGCCGAACTAATCGAACTGACCGACACCATATGAATTATTTATGATGCAAGGGACTAAGAGTTTCGAATCATTTTCGGCGATTACCTACCTAGGTAGGTTCGGGCCCTGTCAATAAATCACTCCCCGTATCCAAACAACGCCGTCGCACCAATCCAATCTCAAAAAAGAGGCGCCTGGAATGATAGTAATTTGGGCATCGCCCGTCATCAGAATGAGTAGAGTAATTAAGATTACCTCTCCTAGTCACATCCCCTCACCGATTATGATTATGATATCAATGCATTTTTACGGGATTCTTAGTTCTCGCCAAGGAGTGGAGCTCGTTCGGTATCGCCTTGCACTCTAGCGATCTTGGTATCCCTTCCAGTCGCAACAGGTACAGCAACGACGATAGTGGCAACGAGAAGAATGGCCATGATTATGAAAGCAAATATCCATTGAAACGCGATAACTTGTCGGAAGAACTGGGAGACTCCGATAGCTGCGGAAAGGACGCTGAGGTTGAAACCCATCGTGTAGTCCTATGAAAAATTAGAGACAAATGCGAGGCTTTGGGGGGTTGAGGGAGAACTAACCTTATAGACAATGATAAAGAACAGCCCGTACACCAAAATCGACCAGATAAAAATGTTACCAAAGATACGGGCAACCAATGAGTCTGGATGAGGTACCATGATGGCTCCGTTCCAGTAAATCGCGACGAAAGTCCATGCCAGCGGTCCGCTTACGACGGGTTCGTGGATGAATCGAGCATACCCGGGATGGCGGAAGTATAGCGAAGATAGGTTGATGAAGTTGAGGATAATGAATAACTCAGCCCAACCGAAGTACGAACGCACAAAAAGCATAACGAAGGCAAAGTGGAACAAGTTGTTGATGATAAAGTGGCTTCCCACCGAGCACGCCGAGTTCACACGTTCCACATTTCCGGAGAATAGATGGGCGATGTATCCACCTTGGAGAACGAAAAGAACGATCCTATTCGGATAGAATATGTCAGAAAGGATATCGTACACTAATCCGGTTGGTACTTACCAGTAGATACTGGCGATGATATGGTTCAACCGGAACGCGGTGAGATAGGCATCGTTCTGGCCCCAAATCTTTCGGCGAAACCAAACTCCATCATGAGGTTTATGGAAGGTATAGTATACTGAGACAACGATCGATAGCAACCAGGTGATAGTCGTCAAGACCTTGTCTGTGGCAAGTCAGTACTCGGTTCACAATTCCTAGGCCGCATCATCCCCGAACGATTTCGTAGCCCAACGGCGAAGAGGGCGAAGGACGCAGGTTATAGAGGCAGTACGACATACAGGTAATCACCGTGTTCTTGCTATGCGAATCGCGTTTCGCAAAGGGGTTAACTATAAAAGTCACTCATTAGCATGCCTTCACACCTTCACCCGATACATCCGTTCAGAGACGCAGCCTTACGATGATGAATTCGTTCCATAGTGGTTCACTTATATCCAAGTGAGATTAACAACTAAGTATCGTGATATATATCGTCTAACCACCTATCGAAAATAATATCCCGAAATGTTCCAGATCAGATCAAGTAAAATACAAAATAGAACTATGTAGAACCTAAGCAGGCGGCCCAGCCGTTTATAAACGTATCAACCGTTTGTCATACCATCCAACTGTACATGAATACATACACATAAAACAATCCGTAGACCTGGACCTTGCTTCCATGATGACGATGGTGGGGCAATCCTTTGTATGCATGACTTTGCGGGGGAAGCTCAGCTAGCCCAGTCCAAGGTGGATACTGGTGACGTTAATAGGTACTAGTACCTGAGGTCAGAATGTGATTATTCTTTTCACGTTCCTACATATTTCTATTATAAACCCTTTTCCTATTCTATCCATTCATTCATGCTCATACACACATCTTCTTCACCGAGTCTGGCCGGTACCTATCAATTCAATCAGGATTCAACCCTTTCCAATTCATAAACCTGCATCTGCAAGCCAGCATGAAACACGGAAGGGAAAAATGAAAAAGGACCTCTGAGATTCGGTCCCGCACCATGGTTTGTGACACCGCTGACGAATCACTTCTTTTGCAGAAGAAATACCCAGGTCCTTAAAACGTGGTATGGTATTATGATTGGTGGTAGGGATTAGGTAACTCAGGTAGATCAGGTCTAAGCAAAACGGTAAGAAATAAAAAGTCTATGACGCTGGTGTTCGCACACATACGAATTACGAAGGTGAGACGTAATGCCGCATTGGACCGCCGCTCGTCGATCGAGATTAGTGGCTGTCACGAGGCGTACAGGTGCATACCTAGTTAACTAGGACTAGGTTGGCTTGTCACCTTTTTTTCTTGTCAGGGTTAAAGGGTTCGTTCTAGTTTCGAATTGGATATTCAACTCTGTGAGGAACGAATTAACCAATTATAAATATTCTAGAATTCTATTTGGGAAACTTGCATGACCTAGGTCTCTAAGCAACTATTTGCTGAGCTTTGGCCTAACCAAATCCCGTCGAATTTGCCAATTGAGGAATGATAGGCTCTTCAGTGAGAGGAGCATTTAGTCCGGCATATGCGCACCCATAGACGTAGGGCGTAATACACTATGGGCGTGTAACACTAGCAGACATTTAGCTTTGAATTATGCTCAATTTGGGCGGGCAGGCGGGCTACAGAGTTCCCATTTGTCGGGTCTGCGGGGCAGGGCGCTGTATCAGTATTTGTAGGTGCTCTCCCGAAGACTCTACCCAGTATTCCAGCAACTTCGATAATCGCGAGGCTACGTTCGCATGGGTTAACATTTTCGGAATTGAATTGAAGATAATGAATGATTCTTATAGTTAGCACCTTGGTATTTGAGAGGTGTCTAAAGCCTAGAAATGTCTTATATCAAAAACTCCATAGTCACAAGCACTACGTTGACAATCCTGACTCGTTATCCTGTTGAAGCGTCAGAAACTGAAATATAAGTGAGCCGCAATATAATTCTAAATTACTTACTTACAATCAATCGTAGGGGTATGTGTAATTAGCGTTCCCTAACATATCCGGCGTTTTTATTTATTTAGTGAGTCCAATACCTTGCATTTTCATTGCGAAGTCCGATGGCACCTTTAATTGGTTCTTTGAGGTTACGGGAGAGATTTGTGGAGAAGAATAAATGTTTGTATTAACGAAGAAGTCCTAGGTGCTAATTTCATTACTATGGTTACTTGCTCGGGAGAGCTCATCGTTGATCATCCTACCTTGTTTCTCGCTTCAATACCTAGCAAACGTTTCTAGAGTAACAATAACGGAGTGACACCTGCGTTGAATTTTAGAGGCATAGCGTCCCGGATTAATGGTTCACTGTGTAGTGAATGACGAATTGCGGAGAGAAGCAGCCTTATCCCTCCAGGGCGGGGATTTCGGATATGCGAGAAGGTTGCAAAACATATGCCAGAAACGGTCCCTGGCATGTGGTGTTCGTATTTAAAAGCCAACCCTTCAAAAAGCCGGTGTGAATTGGGATGCATACGGTGTGTACCGAATTCACCTTGGGATTAGTTGCTCGACTAGGGCGCCAAGAACGCGTACCATGGATTTAACTATCTGGCCTTTTTAGTTGATATGGGAGATAAGCCTCGATATGCGTCTCGAATTCACCGAAAACTCCAAGGTCATAAAGGACACAAAATGCCTTAATATCTTGATCATCAAGGTTGCTGTAATCTGTGGGGTTCTGAAGATTCTTCGTATAATCAGATGTTGCGTCGTGTCATTTTTCCATTAAAAAGAGCAGGATGAATGGTGATCAGGCGAGAAACGGAGAACCAGATAAGCCTTTAGCGAGGATGAGGTACTTCACCTTGGGGTGGGGCTGCGATAGATGGGTTATCATTTTTCGGTTGAACCCGGCTTTTTTTGAACCCCTTTCTTTGGTATTCCCCAACTGTAGCAAACAGAACATGTCGAAGATGCTATTATTCCTCTAGCAGTTTTTCGAAATGATATGAAATATCTTTGCTGTTGGTCCTCGTTTCAAAGGGGTTCTCTTTTCACAATATCCTTTTGGAGACAACTCGTAGAACCGAGTGTGTCACGAGTCCGATAAATCGTTAGAGTGAAAGAAAGAACAGACCACCATTACGTACCAGTGCCCTTGATGGAACTAACTTTAACCAATCACAAGGGATTGTGTTAGTTATCGCCGACCCTGTCCTTCCATATTCCCACGTTTGTCGATGATAATGGAAACTGCAAGTGACTCTGCCGCCGGAAATCGGCTGCATACTGGAAGGTGTTCGCTTGTCTTTGCAGAAAAGCGGAGTCGCAGAACGTAAAGGTTGCCAACATTGTAGACAAGTGCTAAACTCCGCCATTGCCCTCCCTTTTCTTATATAGCTCCACCACACGATAGACCTCACCGACCTAAAGCCATTCTACCAACCAACGACGACAAGTCATCTCCTATATCCAACATCATTAAAGATAATGAATACCCTGGGAACCTCAGACCCAATCGTCGAAATGAATCGCTTCGAGCAACTTGAGAAAGACATCAAGGGTGTCCTAGGCTCGTCCTCGGGATTGACGTCCGAAGATGTAGAAGTACTAGACCTGATACATAAAATGGAACAATATGCATCCGACGAGACGGAATGGTCCAAATATGCGTGGGAAGATTCATCAATGGCGTATACCAGAAACCTCGTCGACGAGGGGAATGGCAAAGCGAACCTGGTAAGTCGTAGCGCCATCCTCTAGCAATTTACCCCCTTGAGTATAGAGCACAAATTGTACTGACTTAACTCGTCAATATAGCTGGTACTCGTCTGGACGCCTGGGAAAGGTAGCCCGATCCACGACCACGGTAATGCTCATTGCCTGATGAAAATCCTCCGCGGAACCCTCACCGAAACTCGATACAACTTCCCTAACGACGACGACAAGCAACCAATGCAAGTCATTTCGGAAAATCATCGTAAGGAGAATGCCGTCGTCTATATGGCAGACAACCTTGGCCTTCATCGAATGTCCAATCAAGGTAGCGACTATGCCGTCTCTCTCCATCGTAAGTATTTTCGATTATAAAACAATCTATGCCACTTGGCTAATATCTCCAGTCTACACCCCGCCGAACGTAGCTAAGTATGGTTGCCATACCTTCAACGATGAGACAGGAGAAAAGAAACTGGTCAAGAGTAGCCACTATTCGGCATATGGAAAACGGCTATAGAGCCAAGGACAACTGTTAAGGGTGTCGGGATGACGGTATGGGTTATGAGGAGTTTTGGGTAGCGTCTCATCACCATGATTGAATAAATTTGGAATGTATTTTTTGTCAACTTGACAGTAATGGCGGGTGGGAAGTAGTGATAAGACTCGGATATCTGTATGACTTCATATGAACTTAGCGACGAGCTGTTCAGGCTCCGGGTTGATAGCGATGATCAATGAGAATGAATTAACTTGTGCTTCCTGTATTCTCGGTATTAGTGAGACAATTTGAAATTGAAGTAGGAAAAAAGAAGAGAAGTCGTGCTGTTGCGGCTCGTTTCGCAATATTAGCTTTCTTCTATCCCGTTGATTTGGCCTAGCTCGGATTGCACCATCGTCGTCTTTCCTCATTCGTCGGCACTCGATGACGAGATCCCCACTTTTCCCTACCGTCTTTGAACTGTGACGGCTACTGTGAGCGGATACTTGCACTTTTTTCTTTTTTGGTGCATAATTTAGGTCCCTTATCCGCTCCTCGCGGCACTCGCTCTGTCGTGCTGGCATTGTAAATCAATCAAACAACACAACCTTGAAAATATTATCCACAAGCTCTTTTAGTCTTCTTGAGCCATTCGGATATACCTATTCTGCGAACATTATTTTACAATTCAAGCTATTAATTGCCTTGGTCAACTATACAACAGCTCGGGTCATTGCAGCTTGAGCTGAGACAACATCACTAACTTGGCGGTCTAAATTCCTGTGGAAAGGCATTAAAGTCGTCTCCCATCTCTCAGCCATGGAACCGATTGATCCAAATTAGTCAGGTCAATGATACGTTAGGTGAAGACTACCTAATCGGGTAATCTAAATGGACCGTTTGTTAAGCCAGCAAACTCTCTCTCCATTCTCTTCATGAGAACATCTACTTCGATTATTCAACTTGATTATTTCACATTTACGGTGAAATATTCTTGATTTGTTGGCAGGGGAAGCCGCAAGCCACTCACGTCATTTTCTAGTTACAAGAACCTTGTCAGTTTTCGATTTTCATCAGCTAGCAGTCGCGATTGGCATCAGAGCGCGTCCAACTCGAAACTTCGATCAACATTTTATTTATTTGCTTTTCTGTTCTTCTCACATAAAAGAGAACTCAATTCTTGAAAGTCAGAGCAGGAGTCTACTCTTCTTTCAAGAAATTTCTCTAAATCTCTCTAGAACAAACACCAAATTCTTATTATACTGGTCAATTGCTCATATACAAACGCGATGGCGCCTTCAAAGCGTCGCTCTACTGGACACTTAGAGGGAGAGCCTCGTATCAAATCCAGCCGCAATAACAGCAGAGCCTCCCCAAGCTCACAAGGATACGCCTCTGGATCTCGTAATCCCCAACCCTATTACGTCTATCAGCAAGCTCCTCCGTCTTCTCTGGGCTTCTCTAACCTGCATACTCGGAGTGTGGAAGAGTACATCGATGATGATGCTCCGGACGCCACTCAAGCCACTGATGACCCCCTCTCATCATCCGAACTTTACGGAACCATGGACAAAAAAATTGTAGGCGTTCAATACTACAACGGAGTTGTCAACCCCGGCGAAAAGATTCTTTGCCGTCGCGATCCTCACAACCCTTACGACCCCAATGCCATTCGCGTAGATAACGTCATGCGGGTCCAAATCGGTCATCTCCCTGCCAAGGTCGCTCTCAAGCTTGCGCCCTACATCGACAGAGGCGAGATAACCCTAGAAGGTGTTCTCACAGGCCACAAGGATACCTTTGATTGCCCCATTCGCTTGTTCTTGTATGGTACTAGTGACCCATCGACTCGCCTCGAGTTGGAGGTTAAGCTGAAGGCCGATAAGATTCTGAAGGCTACAGAGCTCAAGACTACTAGGCAACAAGCAGAAGCCGAAAGAAACGCTACAATGCGTCTGAATAGCCAGACGACCTCTATCGGCTTTGGCGCTGAAGAGACGGGACAACTAGAGCTGGCCGAAAACCCGCTGGCCGGTAGTGAAGTTACTCGCTTAAGAGGTGACCTTAGTTCCGCCGATGCATTTGCGATGGACGAGGACTCCTTGTCCAAGCTTCCAAAGGCGCACCAACCCGAGAGTATCCAGTCGACGATGCTACCGCATCAACTCCAGGTAAGATGATTCAATCTAGTCTTAAATGGTGAAATCGCTAATCATAGTATCAATTATAGGGATTGGCTTGGATGACCAGCCAAGAGAACCCCCGTCCCCCGGCTCCCGGATCAAAAGAAGCTGTTCAGTTGTGGAAGCGCAATAATCATGGCAATTTTTTCAACATCGTCTCTAATCATATCACGAAGACACAACCCCAATTTATTTCGGGCGGTGTGCTTGCTGATGACATGGGTCTAGGAAAGACACTCCAGGTTACCAGTTTGATCATGTCAACCGGCTTTAATGAGGGTCCTACTTTAATCGTTGCCCCAGTCGGCGTCATGAGCAATTGGGAACAGCAGATCGAGCGACACGTAAAGGAGAACCAAAGACCCCGCGTTTTCAGATACCATAAGGCTCTTGCAAAGAAGAGCGAATTGTTAAACCATGACATCGTCATTACTACCTACGACAAAGTACGCATTGATGCTCCTGGCGGACCGCTGTTCTCAGTACAGTGGCGCCGGGTTGTCTTGGATGAAGCCCATGCCATCAGGAACTCCACAAGCCGTAGAGCTCTAGCTGCGTATCAGCTACAAGCGAAGTCTCGCTGGATGTTGACCGGCACACCAATGTAAGTTCCACTCATTTTTCTGGTTAATACCTTCCATATTTTTGGCTTACTATGTTCTTAGCGTCAATTCAACAAAGGATTTCCTATCAGTGTTGAAGTTCCTCAGAATTACTGGTGGTATTGAGGAACCCGCAATATTTTTGCGACTCATCGACAAACCATTGTCGAATGGTGTAGCGGGTGCAAACAACAACGATTATGCCTTAGCTTCGCAACTATTCCAGTCCCTAACGCGGGACCTCTGTCTTCGTCGAAGAAAGGATATGAGCTTCGTTGATTTGAAACTGCCTACTAAAACGGAATATATCCATCGTATCAAGTTCAGGGGGGGAGAAAAAATTAGATACGATGCTCTGTTGTAAGTATTAGAAAATAACGTGCCTTCGTTGATTGGTTGTTGACGATGACATACCAGTACCGAAACCGCCGAATTATTGGGCGCATATCGGCGCAGTCGAAGTGGTCAAGGCCCCCAGATAAGATTCGTTAGCGTTCTGGAGAAGCTTTTACGTCTCAGACAATTGTAAGTGCTTACTGTCCCGGGTGTGCCATAACAGTGAAAATGGACTGACCGTTGGATCTCAGATGCTGCCATTGGACATTGTGCGGAGGCCGAGTGAAAGACGTCTTGAGACCTCTTGACGGCGAGGATGTTGTTGACTTCAGTCCGGAAAACCGTAAAATTTTACAAGAGGCCCTCCTAACCGCCAGCGAGGAGGGAGAAGAGTGCCCAATCTGTATGGATTCGATCAGCATCCATATCCCTGTGATCACGACCTGCAAACATCGTTTTGGGAAGCCTTGTATTACGAGGGCACTTGAAGGAGCTAAGAAATGTCCGATGTGCCGCCACCCGTTGAATGTGGACAGCATCATGGAGCTTGAATCTTCGGATGTCAATCACAAATTTAATGGGGACACACAAAGCTCAAAAACCGAAGCTCTGGAGAAGATTTTGAAGGCAAAGCTGAAGGACCCAAAGTCCAAGGTTGTTGTCTTCTCTCAATGGACATCTTTCCTAAACGTCATTGCGAAGTTACTGGACGAGATGAGTTATAAATATTGTCGTCTTGAGGGTTCAATGACAATAGCTCGGCGTGATGAATCAATCGACGCTTTGACTAACGATCCTGACACTCGTATTATGCTCGCCAAATTGGGAGCAAGTGATGTCGGTCTGAATCTGGTTGCTGCTGACACAGTCATCCTTGTAGATTCTTGTAAGTTGACTACCTAGGTATATATGCTGCTGTATTGTGGTTTATTTTGCTAACTTTGAAATAGGGTGGGCACCAGCCATCGAAGATCAAGCCATTGACCGAGTACACCGCCTCGGTCAAACACGCGAGACAACAGTTTGGAAATTAGTCATGGACGGCACTGTTGAAGAGCGCGTTCTTGATGTTCAAGCCAAGAAACGCGAATTAGTCAACCTAGCTTTTCAGGACAAGGCTCGAGAGCAGACGGAAACTAGTCACTTGGATAATGTTCTCAGATTACTAGCATAAGCTCTCGGCTTCGGTACAGTTACGCTGACATCCGGCATATACGATAGGGATGGCGCTCGGTGGAATGTAAATGGACGGATAGAAGGTGGTAAATCAAAAGCATGTATTGCTGCAAGTCAGCCCCGGAGGCTTGCTTGTCATTTCGATCATTACTACTGTCGCTTTTAGAGCATTGAGTCTGGCATAGCTACACATTGAGCTTAGACCTACACAGTCGTTTTTGCTAGATGAATAAACGAGACTATGAGTACCCCCCGGGTCTATCCTTAAGTGCTAATAAATCTATTTTACATAGAGCTGCATCGAATTCAGGGCGAACCTTACGACGAACGAGCATGAAGAGTCTGCTCACGCTCCATAGGACGACCTATCGTAATATCTTCAGGTGTTCTTGCGAACGACCAATAATTACGAGGCGAAGACAAAGGTAACGTAGCTATTCTCCTCAGAGCGCCAGACTTATAGGACTTTCGGCGGAATAAATGAATGGTCAGGTAAAGTAAATACGAGGTCCCCCGCATGTCATATATCGAAGTGTACAAAACTCGATCTAAGACATGGGAGCTATTCCCCTCAATGAAGCTACTCCGCCTAAGACACATCTATTTGTGGCTGAGTCAGACGGAGTAACGAAACTTATGTTCGGTTTTTTTTTATTTCATTTCCTTTTCCTTGATTTCTTTCAACAACGCGTATGCCTAAAAGAGGGGATATCACGAACAAGCTCGTAAGGAAGGATTCGAACATTCTAGGTTAGTAGACGCGAGCTGAGGCTGACCAGCCCACTTTCACCGACTTCCCCATGCCCACGCCCGCACGCGTTATGATGGCATTGGACAGCTATCTTCGGCAGAGCTAGCATTAGTAGCGAGAGGGGATAGGCCAGCCTAGAACTTGGCGGGCATTAAGATTGATGAGGGGTGAGGTTACATCGGCCCGGAACCCGGGGAAGGAAGAGCGTCTTTTTTTCGCGAACCCTTCTACCCTTTTCCCTACGTAGTTAGATGTAGGTGCCCAATCCCGAGTCCCGTCCATTAGATTCATGTCCACTGCATAGGGCTCGTAGACTCGTCCGTGTATGGCTTGCTATAAGGCTGAGTCCCATCAATTAAGTAAGAGAATCCTAATGCGGTACGGTAGAATAACCTGACAGGTTGGAAATTGCAACATCATGTTGCCATCGTCCCATCCATCTCGTCTCTCTCTCAGCTAGAGTACCTATAATGCTAAAAAGGGCAAAAATAATATACAATATTATTATGTCCACTTCTAGGTATGTGATTCTAATGCACAAAGCCCTTACCGCCTCGTGTTCGATTTGATGACCTACCTTGGCTTGGGTTGAGGTCTTGTAAATGAAGGAAGAACTGGCATTACATACTATATGGCTCACGGTACTGCGCCTCGTTTTGCTTACCTACTTTAAAGTAGGTAGAATATTAGTTCAATGCTCGAAAATACATACCCTACCCTATTCCGTCGCGCGCCCGCTAACCCACTTGTCGCCTCGGCATTGGCGGGAATCACGGCATCGACTGCCTGCCGAATGACACGGGAAGAAATGCGAATGGGCACGGGAACAACCTCGTGTTACTTAGTCACCACCAGGAACAAGGAAATTTTTTTCCCCTTCTAATTTGCTCACCTTACTCTACATGCAATTGTCATAGATGGAATTTTACGATGCGGTATTCTAACTCAGCCCCCCTGTAACATTCATTATGTAAACTTCGTAAGAAGCAGATAGACAAAGAGTGACGAGAAAATGCCAAGTACTGGATCTAAACCGGATAGGCTATTCTAAGTATAGGTAAGTAACTCGCATCACATCGCATCGACGTATGTGGTGACCTTGGGCTGAGTGAAGCCTAACTCGTTCGTCGACCCATCTCACTTCACTTCACTTCACACTTCATCTCGTGAGGCTCTATCAGATCTTCATCTATATAAGACGTCGACGCCGTCACCTCATCGACATCATGAAATAACATCATCACCACCACCCTCGACATTCGCCCCGAATAACCATACCACCTAATCACCTTCCTAACATAATAACAACTTATACCCATAATAATCCCTAATCCTAATAATCAAGATGCTCGCCATCACCACCATCACCGCCGTCCTGGCATTCGCCGTCAACAGCGTCCTTGCTGCTCCTACCAACGCCGCTCAGTTGGTTGCTCGCCAGGGCTATGTTGCAAGCTGTACGTCAAGCACCGCCTCCTCCGCATTTTCATACACCATTAGCCTAGATACTAATCCAATCTCACAGGCACCTCCACCTACACCGTCCAGCAAGGTGACACCTGCAACAAGATTATCAACACCTTCAATGGCAACTTTACTCTGCAGGAGTTGTAAGCACTCGCTTTCTCTTGAGAAAAGAGACATAACCAAGCTAACCCCCACAAAGCTACACCTGGAACCCCCAGGTTGACTCCGTCTGTTCCAATCTATTTGTCGGCGAAGTAGTCTGCATCGGCGTCGCTGATACCACCACTCCACCCGTACGTCACCCCCTTACTCACCCATTTCCCCCCTCTCCAAAAAATATCAGAACCATTACTTACTCATCCCAGTGCCCCGCCCCCTACGCCCCCGGCTTAAACAGCAACTGTAAATCATGCTACAAAGTCGTATCCGGCGACACCTGCCTCGCAGTGGCCAACAAAGAGGGAATCTCACTCTCCAACTTCGAGTCCTGGAACCCGGATATCAACGCCGCTTGCACGAACCTGCAACTCGGATACAATTACTGTGTCGGTGTCTAAACCTCATTTTTTCGTCTTCTGACACTTTCGCTCTTTTTGGGTGTCTGAAGGTTAAAAAGGAGTCTTATTCTCCTGACTTACGCATTTTATGATATCACGTTTAATGTCCAATAGTTAAGCCGTAATGTAGCTAGCTGTCAATATCATTTAGACATGACAACATATTCTTGTTAGCCAAGCTATCTGTGAATCAAGTTATCTGTAAAGACTGAGTTATTAGAGGCAAGCCCTCAACATGAAGGGTAGGAAAATCAGTAAAATAGGGGCATCGCTGTGACTGGATACATATTCTTCAGCCAACTCAAATAAGAAGTGAACGTGTCTCTTTGTAGAGAATCGCAACCGAGGGGTAAGTCGGGTGTAGGAGCGCGTGATCCGGTATCGAATTGCAACCTCTCATCAATTGCGCTCAAGGCACCCTATATCTTCAGATCCTAGCCCAGCGCAGACTGAGCGCAACCATAATGACGGGTAGTACGCTGACAAGCTCACCTAGACCGGCGAACTCAGGCGGGATACGCACGCCTCCCTTACCCGCGCCCACAAACGCTCCCGCGGCAAGCAGTATCGCGAATACGTTATACACGGCGCTCCAGCCAAAGTTGAAGGTAATACGGCGCACGGCAGCACGAGATACGTCGATCATGGCGAGGATACCGCCGAGGGAAGGCCGCATTAGAACGACATCAGCGGCAGATTTTGCCACGTCTGTGCCCGAATTGACGTGCACGCCAATCGTAGCCTGCGTAAGTGCGACAGCATCGTTCGTCCCGTCGCCTACGAACACGATAACGGGCTGTTTCTTGTCATGTTTTCCTGACCGATCGTTGAGTAGTTTTTGAATATAAGCTTGCTTGTCGGCTGGTGAGCAACGGGACATAGCATTTCCTCCTGGGATTCCTAGGTTAAGAGCCACGGCCTGAACGGCACTTTCGTCATCACCGCTTAGAATTGACACTGCGATATTTCGTTTCTGAAGCTTGGCGACAACCGATGCTGCATCCGATCGGATAGTATCGGCTAGACCAAAGACAGCTTGCAGTTCTGACCCAATGGTCACACAAAAAGTAGTGTGACCTTTAGAGAGAACATCTTGCACTAGAGGGTGAGACTCGGTGCCGAGCCAACGAGAATTGCCAGCTTTGATGGCAGCCTTTCCAGTATTACCTTCGACTCCTTTCCCCGGAAGGGACTTGATTTCATTAACTTTGGCGGCATTGACGGCTCGATTTTTTAGGTGGGCTGTAACGGCTGATGACACCGGATGGTTAATATCGGCTAATAAACCTAAGATCTTCGGTGTGACGGTTTCCTGAGTTTCCGACGGATATACTTCCGAGACAACGGAAAGCTTCCCTTCTGTTAGAGTGCCAGTTTTGTCAAACACAATATGTGAAGCCTTATAGGCCACTTCTAAAGCCTCACTTTCCTTGAAAATCAAACCTCGCTCAGCTGCAGCGCCGCATGCAATTACAATGACCATAGGGACAGCCAAACCTATCGCGCACGGACAGGAGACTATAAGTACCGTGATACCGTATGTTATCGCTTGTGTCACAGCTTCGCTCCCCGGCATTCCTTGGTTGCGAATGCCGACGCCGACCCAGGCGACGAATACGACTATAGTCAAGGATATTACCACTGGGACAAAATAGGATGCGACTCGGTCGGCGAGGCCTTGGATCTTGGGCTTTGAGAGCTTCGCGTCATCAACCATCCCTGCAATGGTGCTAATGGTGTTTTCTCCCGGTAGTCTGGTAAGACGTGCTGTAATTGTACCCGAGCCATTGAGAGATCCAGCGATGGCCGTAGAGCCTATTCTCTTCTCAACAAGGCGTGATTCACCTGTTAGCATTGATTCATCCACTTCCGTTATACCAGAGAGAACAACTCCATCAGTGGGGATTTGGGTATGGGGCACAACTTTGAAGATGTCCCCATACTGAAGTAGTCTAGTGTCGATGTCAATCTCAGTACCATCTTGGGAGACAAGGGTCGCCGTAGAAGCTTGCAAGGCTCGAATAGAAATTGATTCGACAGCTTTCTGGCGGGCTAACGCGCTGACCCACCGCCCAACCATGATCAAAGTGACCAACAAGGTACTTGTTTCGAAGAAATTACCAGTTGGCAGTGGTTGACCGCTAACCTGATAACCGAATGATACCACTGAGAAGGTGTATGCGGCAGTGGTACTCAAGACGATCAGTAGATCCATTTCGACTACCCTGGAAAATACTAAACTCTTTAAGGCTTTTGGGTAGAATGGTCCTGCGATGAAGACTTGAACAATAGTCGCCAGCGCCAGCGATACACTACCGTATGTGACCGGTCGTTCTTTCAACGGAGCCCAAGCCAGCACCAAGACCGGTATAGTTAAAAGTATCGAGGCTAGGGTCATCCAACCCATGTGTTGAACATGCTTGCTTCCCGCGGCAAGCGATGGATCGGCGCGCGGAGGTGCAAGGGCTTGGGGGGTCTTAAAACCTTTATTAATAAGATCCCGTGCCCCGATGACTTCTGGGTCGAAAGTGATTCGAACGATTTGTTCATCGACGATATCTATACTTTTCACACCTAGTGGAGGGGACTCTTGGACGAAATTTTTGGACCCATGAACCGGAACAACATCAAGTGTTGAACCACTAGTCGCAATTTTCTCGCACTTGAATTCGGTTGTCCTTTCGATGTGCTTGATGACATCTTCCGGCGCAGCTAAGCGAAGGTCCAGCTGAAATTGGACTCTGGCCATTACGAGACTCGTTTTGAGGTTATTCACGGCTTTGAATCTTTTCAGCGTCTGCTGCAATTTGGTTTCGCAGCCTGTGCACGTCATTCCGGTGATACCGAGAACAACGTACTCAGACCCGGACATGCCTTTCTCAAGGTTCGCAATTTTGACATCTTCGCTTCCGTCTTTCTGTGGTAAATTCTCGATGGCGATGCTCTTTTCTTGCTGGCAATCGCTTCCTTGAGAGGAAGAATTTTTAGAGCAGCAAGTGTCCTTTTCGACAATTGTGATATTGGTGCTCTCTGCTTTACCGCAGCATCCTTTGCTGCAGGATTTAGCGCGTCGGTGGCTAGAAACAGATGATTTGCGTTGCACGGCAGGTGAGCAGCAAGTGCCCGCCACTTCAGATTTGCAAGTTGACTCCTGTTTATCTTGAGACTTTGGGCGGAGACATTTCTTAGACCCTTTCTTCGATCCACGCTTCCTTTCCACTGACGATACCTCAGGAGAAACGCAGCAGGACTCTTGGCCTAAGGCGATAAGTGCCCTACAGAGACACCCAATGGCGGCGAGTCTAGTCTCGTATCTCTCTCGAATTGATTTCTCTCTGGAAGAGGCTGAACCTTGGGCGGAGCTTCCCGCTGCATCGTTACCTAAGGTGGATGAGAAATCTACGCTGGCAACGGTAGTTAGGATACTCACCTTGCCCCGCTTCTTCAGCGGTCTCGCGAAGCACAAGTCGGTCGATACACGTTGCTTAGTGGCGTCAATCAGCTATTATCATTCCATCAATTGAAGACAGCGAAAACTTAAAGGACTCACTATCACAGCAGGGCTTCTGTTTGCCCTCGCAGCAAGATGGTTCAATTGCAGTAGGTTTGTCAGCTGAACAGCAACCATCTTGACAAGTATCCTGTGAAATATCATCGGGCGGGCCACAGCATTCTTCTTTATCAACTTTTTCTTGCGTGCCACAGCAAGAGTCTTGGCAGCAATTATCAACGACGGCCTTCGCAGGTCCGCAACAATTGTCTTGGCCATCCTGCTCATCTTGAGATGAGCAACATCCGGTCGAGTTTTTGACGGCCACGTTTGGGGTATCGCAACAGGGATCCTCGATATTTATCTCTTTCTTAGGCTTGCAGCAGCCATCCTGGCATCCAGTAGAGTCAATTGGCTCTGCCGGCTTGCAACACTCGTCGAGTTGAGGAATGACGTCGGCGGCAACCTTAGAACCCTCTTCGTTATTCGAAGCCGACGGCTTACAACAATCGTCCTGTTCAACAACTTCTAAAGCATTCCCGCTGGCGCAGCAACCTGAGCTGCAACAATTCTCTTTTACCTCTTTTTGGGGTTGGGGAGTAGAACCAGAACAGCAAGCATCTGCGCAACTGCTCTTCTTCTTTGATTCGCCCATTGCGATCGTTGCCGCACTAGCGAATATGATACTAATATCGCTTGATAGGTATAACTAAAAGATTGTTGAGTTCATATGAGGAATAAGAAAGATACAGTGAGAGAGAAATGAGGAAAAGTTTTGAGATGCATGAAACAACAAACCGATTGTCATAGCGGTCTCGGGGGGGGATCGAGGGGTAACCATGCATGGGTTATCACACCGATAAGCTGTTTTTTTACTTTTCTACTACCTCACTTATCTTAGTTATACGTGACAGAGGGATGGAAAGCACGTCTTGAATGCTCAATGACACGAAACTGTGGAAGGTGATACCTACACGTATAGTTGTAAACGTTAAGTAAGCGGTGTAGAATAAGGGACAGGCAGTCACTGATACAATTCCGAAGTCGGGTGTTTCCAGCTGTCCACCCAACCCCACTAAAACCACCACATTTTATAGAGTGCTAGCCCGCCTCCATTTTCCCACCATAACAAGACCTAAACTATATAAGTTTAGACAACGCACTATTCTTTCACATACGACCATAGGATTTGGAATACTCGGGATCCCGTCCGCTCTCCCATAGATAAGCCAGATACCGCCGAATCAGTACCTGGGTCGGTGACGACCAGGGAATCCTCGGTGTTGTATGTTTTTGCTTTTTTTGTCTTTTTTTTCTTCCGTCTCCCCAATTTTTGGTGCTTCTGGAGGGGTTCGTTGTGTAATGGCATCTATTTTTCACAGTTGTGACAGGGAAGTATGCGCTGTAGTTTTAGCGGGGTTTAGGGCATTGCCCTCCAGGGTTTTAGTGACCATTGAGTTGTTTAGGGTCGTACCAGGGTTAGGGTTGGGGTTATGGAATGAGGATTAGAGTGCTGAATGTGCTACAGCCAACTGTAAATATAGTGAGTTCTAGTGCAGTATCCCCCCGTAACTTTAGCAGTGAACCCGACCCTAATGCGACAGCCTACACAATACATATAAAATTCATCTCATCATGACTTCATTTTTCACGTACCTACGCATGAGAGCATCATATCATATGCAATTATATAAGCATCGCTCATAAGGTAGAAAAAATAATTAGGTATTAACAATACGACTTAATGACGCTCATGTCGCGGAAGCGCATCCTTATGACGCTCACGCCATCTGCGTTTCAATTGTCCACCAAGATTCCGCGCCTGCGTTAACTGTGCCAGAATATCATGTTTAGCCTCTGGAGGAGGTGCACTTTTCTCCTTCAAACCACGTTGATTCCATAACCGAAGCCATTCAGATATATCGTTTACATTCCATGCAATGAGGATAACAGGACCGGAGACGGCGAGCGTTACGCCGACTGTTCGTATTGTTAGAATGTCGGCTTTTGTGAAATGGGTGGCGGAGATACTTACACATAATGGGGAATATCCACCACCCTTGATATTTCAACATGCCGGAGTCGGGATCGTGCGGGAAATTTGATACGTCAAGTGCGAAGAGGGATGATAAGAACGAAAGGGGAAGCTTAATTAGGAGGTGAGATTATTAGTGTATTGTTTTCCCTTTCGGAGTATGGAATAGCTTACGAAGATGATAGTGATGATGGTAAAAATGAATATGATGTTGGACTGTCTGGCTGAATCATTCGCCTGCACTCGACTGTATTCCGCCTGTCGCAAGTCAAGAAGAGAGTTGATCTACCATTCAGATTAGTTTCAGGGGAGAACCAACTTTGGGTAAGTAAACTAACATAATCCGTCGTTTTCTCTGCTTCTAAGAGCATCTCATCTATATCCTCCTTGACGTCGCTAGGTGTGCACGAATTTTGGTATGGGAGGCGAGCTCTCTGATGGTCGTGAGAAATCGCTTGTTTCCACACATCATCTTGGTCTTCTGCTAGGGACCTAAGGATATGAAGTTCATCGCGCATATCCCGTATCTTCTCAAGAAGCTCCGTTTCGGATGAAATAATGTGGTAGCGATTCCTAGCTTTCTTTTCAGCTCGCGAGGTAAGCCATGAGCTGTCGGGTCGAAGCTCTCCCTGTGCTTTTGCTTCGTTCCGTAGACCTTCCAGGAAATCTTGGAAAAGTTGGGTTTCATGATCAGCCTGTTCATGTTAGTGAATTCAATGAATTGCCATAGCCTTATGCGACAACATAAACTTACCACATTCCTAATCGACTCTCGGTATATCTCAATAGGTCCCTTCTTCTCGATTTGCTGTGTCGGATGTGGGATAGGTATGAACTTTTCCGTGAAGGACCCAGTTGCGACTTCAAGAACCAGCTCCACCACGGACTGAACCGACGTAGCACGTTCGAACTGACTTCGACTTTCCCCATATAATATGTTATCCAGAGTATTCTTAAGCAGATAAGATGCGTATTCTTCATTAGAATCCTCCGTCGTCGCCGTAATGATCGTCTCTGAATGAATGTTAGCCCGGCCGTCCACAAACGCGCACCCACAGCACCAAAAACCATACTCTCATCAATGATCCATATCCACAATTGATTCACCATCAACACCGTCTTTTCGTCTTGTTCCTCTTGTTTCAAGAATTTCGACAAGACTTGATCATTGTCTCTCTTATCGGTATCAGCAATTGTTGGGTAGTAATATTGGTCAATAGTCATGGGTTTGTGTTTAACCCTTCTCGAGTTACGGCTGTTTATCCCCTCCCCATGCTCGACGTTTTCATCGGTACGGGTTTTCGAGTTATAGCTCCCTAAGCTAAGGTAAGGCATCTATTTTCGGTCAAAATTAGTTTAGGGTTATTATCCAAGGTTGCATTGAGAAACACATACATAGAGAGCCATACACGTGATACGCTCCCCTTCAGGTCGACTTCTACTGAGATCATCGCTCAGACGATTATTGTGGTCAATCTCCTTGCGCTGTATGATAAGGCTAGTAAGCATATTCTGACCCATTGATATCGTACACTTGAATACATACTGTGCATTGCGGCTTCATGTAGCTTCGTTTTCCACCAGCTGCTAATTCGGTCCAACTTCGATTGAACTGCTTCATCAAAGCGTTATGGTCGATTTCAAGTCGTTTCGAGTCGTACGACAACCGACAAACGAGATCCTTGTGAGAGTTAGCATTACAAGTCTACATAGTAGAAAGAAGAACGCATAGCATACCCCCATTAAATGTAGCTGTAGATAGCATCTTCGTTAGCATTGGCCAAGCATCAGTGTCTCGATAGATTCGGGAGACATACCTCGTTAAATGGAAGATGAATCCAGCGGAGCTTAAACACCCTAGTGACCCCATCCAGACGCTCTTCGCAATCGGCCGCGTCCTGTTGGGATGAATAATGCGGAGTTTCGTTTTTGCTCGAGCAAAGACTAGAAATTTCCTTGTCTTGGTCATAAACAGGGGGCTCCAATTTCCTCTTCAGGTCATCCAAATCACGCTGATCCCAATTTTCTCTGGAATTTCTCATGAGGGCCTCCGGGCCCTTGTTGTATATAATATCGCGGATACTAGCCTTCGTGTACGGAATGCTGACCATTTCACCAGCGGTATAAATATCCATAATATTCCCTTGTATATTTAACGCGGGGTTGCTCTCATCCATGAGCTTTGGCTTTGAAGCTATTTCGTCATCGTTCGGATTTGCGACCTGGGCAAGAAATGGCGGTGGATGTATGAGTAACTCTCGAATATGACTTCGAACATCGGTATTTTCGTACGGGCCTGGCACGAGTTTCCGAGCGGACTCAAGGGCGTAACCAGATGAGTACCCGCCTTTTGATAATAACCACCATACCAAAACAGCTTGGGAGCGATGGACTGCCCAATGAAGAGTTGTGAAATCTTGTTGAACTTCGGGTTTTTCATCCACAAACCATAGCTTTAGCAGTTCTTCGAGGACAGTTTCACGACCGGGTGCTTCATACTTGGCGAGTAACTCGAGGATCCTGCTGGCTTCTCCCGGACTAGATCGCATGTAGTCTTTGTCTGTAGTACCAAGTTTTCGAATTTCATCCCAGAACAAATTTTCTAAATCTCGACGTCTTCGGTTGATTGATAAGGTGAGAGGAGATTCGCCCTGGCTGTTCTGATATAAAATCGCAGCAACTTTCAAAGACTGCTTTGGTATCATTCCCAGAAGATATTTCGTGGTATTGACATTTCCGTCAGCGGCTGCCACATGCAGCGCTGTAATATTCCCTTTTGCTATGGCCAGTATATCAATCTCATGAAGAGAGATTTCCTCGTCACTCGTCCTCGACTTCTCGACCGCGGATTGGAGACGCTGTATCAAGCTATGCTGTCCATATTGAGCCGCTACATGATACCAAGTCGCGCCATCTCGTTTCCACCGAAGTAGATGTGGGTTTCGAGAGATGCAACGCTCGGCCAACTTAGGAGCATCGTTGGCGATCGCCCAGTGTAAGATTATCGGAAGTTGTTCGTGTTCCGGGTCATCGATCTTTTTGAAATTCTTCAACAGCCCGTCCTCAATCTCCTCAACGGAAGCCTTGCTTACACTGCGCTCCGTGAAAGCCTTTTCCCTAGCTGGATTTGGTGGGAAATAAACCGGCGTCCCCAAAATTTCCAACGCGACATCCATACTCGAATTTTGAACCGCAATTAATAAAGGTGTGCGTCCGGGTTTGGCCTTGTCGCAAAACGTAATTGGAACTTTCTTGCGTATGAAAGTTCTGACAATTTCGATCCTGTTATATTTGCAAGCCTGTCCCATCGCACATGAGCCAGCGTTACTGATAATCGTAGCATCTGCTCCCCGGTCCAGAAGTATTTGAGCAACCTTGCTATCGTCTGATTTGGAGCAAGTCTCCATAAGAGCAGTAACTCCATCAGATCCTCCCCAGTTAATATCGGCACCTAGATCGAGGAGTAATTCGACGGTCTTGAACTTTTTCTTCGTACAAGCGCACATAAGAGGCGTGTCTCTATTTATATTGGGCTGGTTGATATTTACTCCCGCCTCAACCAAGTCCCGCAATAGGCACTTGTAAGCTTCTGAGAATTTCGTAACATACTTGACCGCCATGTGGAGACAAGTGTCGTGATTTGCATCGATATCTGAAACCGATGCGCCATTCTTGTGAAGTATCCTACAGACCTTCTCGTGCCCAAACTCACATGCGTAGTGGATAGGGGAGCATAAAGTATCGTCTCTCTTGTGAATATTTGCTCCACGGCGAATAAGCATTTCCACTACCTTGGAACGGCCATAACTGCATGCCAAGTGCAATGGAGTCACCCCGTCCTGGCCTGACTGGTCGATCACTGCTCCCGAATCCAGGAGCCATTCTGCAGTGTCGCAATGACCATTGCGAGATGCTAGGTGAAGTGGCGCATTTAACTTCTTAATGGGCTCGTTAACATGTTCCTTCGACCCTCGTTCCAATAGAATCTGTAGCGTCTTCTTCCGACCGTACAATGAAGCCAAATGAAAAGGCAAATGGCCATCATCATCCTTCTGGCCTACATCTGCTCCTTTATTGAGAAGCAACTCCACGAGTTCTTTGGAACTACACCGGGCGGCTAAGTGTAGTGCCGTTCCACCAAGATTTGGAGTTTCTGCGCTCACATTTGCATTGTGTTCTAGGAGAAGTTCGACAATCGAAGTTTGACCTAATATCGCTGCTAAAGATAGTGGAGGGATTTTTAGTGTTTTAGTATCGCGATATTCACTAAGTTTGTGCTGTAACGGTATATCGAGAATATCATCTCTATGGTCTAGAAGTTCCTCTAGCTCATCGCGGTGATTTTTTCGAATTGCCTCATTGAGATGCCACTCTAGCCCAGCCGCTTCGGGAATAGTTGAATCCTTGGTAGACTCATCATCGGAAGAATGAGGCTGCTCATCAGCAGGCCCCATAATGATTAATGGGCTTGCTTTTGGTGGCTTTTTGAAGATGTAAGACTCCAGGAATGGAGAAAGAGGCTTGCGTTTACATTGCCGACGACGCAGCAAAGTCGCCGAGTTAAGAGCTGGCGCACAGCTTCAATTCTTAATGGATCATTGTCGAATTTGTTTACACATGTTCTCCACGATACTACTCCCACGGAGATCCAAACCATATTAGGCAAGTATCAGGGGTATGAAATGGGACTGGCCGTTGGAGCTGAAATGCATAGTTATAAATTTTATAGCTGCTGAGAGGACGAAGGTCCTGGGGGATCCACGGTAGGTTATGTGGCTCCATTTCCAGGGTTCTTCAGCGGCTAAGTATCAGGAGATATCTTCAGCTACTCTAGTGCCCGATACACTAATCAAAACATTGCACCTTTAAACATGGATCTAAAGACTGCGCTAATATACCCAGGTACTAGGTATGTATAAATCAGAATGTCGAAAGAAAAAAGATGATTCGAAGAGACTTACCGAGGCACATTATATCAGAGAGATCCCTGAATTACGTTGTGTTTTTCTACTTAGGGTAGCGGAGACTTTCAGTAGAGGTATTATCCTGCGAATGATCTGATAATGCCGTTGCACTGCACGCTTTGGCTTTAGAACGTCATTCTCCCCGAAACGAATCCTACAAGCCACAGGGCCAAGACTTTCGTATAGCCTCAACAAATAGCAGCCACTCTATCAATCCGATAAAATCAAAAGCGAGAATCGCAATCGGAGAGAACGATCCCTACAATACCGACTATTCTTTAACTCGGGGACAAATAAGAACCCAATAAAAAGAATGACGGATGAACTAACGAAGCCGAAAAAAGGATTGCTGTGCCGTTCGGTGCTTATAAATGATCGCCCGAAGAGCTTCATACCGCTCTATTTAAGCTAGAATGGTAGGTTGCACAAACGCCACGAGAAACATGCAAGTCTTCCACCATAATTCTGCAGCGTTTCCGATACAATGTCCTTAGCTCAGCCCGGTCTTCATCTGCGTAAGTCTTTACCTTAAAATGCTACCCCAGGCCAAGCCACATAGATAAACTAACACAGTAAACCCAGCCGTCACCGGGTTCTTCGCGCTCCCATTCGCTGCGTATGGCATATACCTAGCGGGCCGCGTAGGATTAGCTCGCATATCGCAAAAAGTCCTGCTTGGGGATAGGACGCCACAGCAGTCGGGCGACGGTACTTCCATCGCGTCGAATGGTTGGAAGACAAGCAATGATCCTTTGCAGCAGGCGACGCGCGCGCATCGTATGTACCCAAGTCCAACCCCAACCCTAACCCCAATCTTACCCTACCCCTTTTTTTTTCAACCATTTCTTACCTAATCCCCATCCCCCTTTTCTCCCCACCTACCTACTGCCCCCAATAATCAATCATATATTAACCCCCCACCCACCAGAAAACTTCGTCGAATACGTCCCTCTCGCCCTGGTCCTCGCCGGTGTCGCCGAGCTGAATGGCGCCGACCCGAAAACACTGCGGAACCTCCTAGCAACATTGCTAGCAGCCCGCGTCCTGCACGCGGACTTCGGACTCAGACAGCGCGATGCGCATGGTATTGGACGGCCACTTGGCTTCTATGCCACGGCTGTCGTGACCGTATGGCTCGGGTGGCTTTCGGCAAGTTTGACTTGGTTTTAGAGTTTGCACAATCTAGACGATGGGAAGGGGAAGAGAGTACAAAAGAAAACCATAAGAAAGCAGACTAAGGAAGTGAAGTGGAATGGTGTAAAATGTTGAGTCCGAAAAGTCAAAGGGTCAACCAGCAAACTTAGCGACACTTGTCCCTCCAGAACGTAAAATACTATAGATTGAATTAGAGTTAATCTAATATCGAATAAACAGTGCTATCTTAGTAGAAGCATAATGAGGATGAAATAAGGATATAGTTAGAGTATTGAAAGAAGCTTATTTTAAGAAACTCGCGGAATTTGAGTTTAGAAGCGCATATCCGTGACACTTGTCAATGCCAAAAGAAAGTTCGAGCTGTCAACCCTGTCAAATCTTTGACAGGTACCTTACTCAACGTTAGGCATCCGAAAAAGTTGGGGGGGTTGGAAAGTGATGGGAGTTACCAACCTCGAGAGTTAAGATTCAATCAGGTCTAAGCTCATCTTAGGAATTCTAACTAGCCTTCATTTCCATCTCGTCAAAGATTCATTTTCTAAAGGGGCGCGTGATGAGCCGGGAGAACCGTGATGGATACTATATTTTAATAGTTCTCTTGATAATGCTTAGATCCGGTCGCCAGCGAAGCTTAGGATAAGCTGGCTATTGAGTTTGATGAAAATGAGTAAGAGTTTAGAGGTCATATATTGCCTTCTCACCGTCACAAAATGGTTCGACAGAGGGACGAAGGCGAGTCCGGCTTAGTGTTTAGACCCGACGATGATATGAGAGCCCGATCAACCTTTGCGCCCTGCTTCGCGTAAGCTAGCCTCGCGTAATCGTGATAATAGGTGGAGCAGACTAAAGTCTGGAGTTCGGCGTGAGATAGGAGGTACTTAAAGTCCACTTATGAATTTTTAGCGTGTGAATAGTTCGATACCGAAAGTAGGGCTGTCCTGTCCTTCCCACAGGCCGCAGCCGCTAGTCCGTAGCTAACAATCCCAAGAACCCAAAGACGTCACACAACTCCACGATGATGTCTGTGGGTATCAATCAAAAAGGAAATAAGATCTGCAAGCATGTCTATTGTAGTAGGTCGAGCCGTCCCGCGCTAACAAGTTTGGCAAGATGAGGGTTTGGTTTGCCACGATGATGCGGTGTGATTTGATGGATGAGCTGCAGGACAACCAGCGGAGGCCGCAACCGCCAGCAAACTACTACCTACCACACAGCAGGATGGGTCAGCTAAACTTGATGTGGATGGACAGACTCGTATGGCCATATCTTGCCCTTCAACCGAATCATCATCATCCTACCGTGTCAGAAGCTGGAGCCCTCCCCTCTAGCCGAAGTAAGCGAGCGTGTAAGTTTGATGTAGGTTAGCTGGCGGGGCTATAGGTAGGTACGTAGCCGGTAAGTAAATGGACAGCCCGCTTAGGTATTCTTCTTGGCGGGCATGTAAGATGAGAAGTACGGTAATATATACGCAACACTAAGAAATTGGGTGATCTATACATAGCCTCGTCGGTGTCTAGATCTCGTCATCTTGCTATCTCGGGCTTCAAAGTTACACGCGGTCGGCGGGGAAGTGGTCTGTTAGTGTACTTGCAGTACGGGAAGCAAAAAGAAAGGAGGAAAAAGCTTCAGGCAAGCAGAAAAAAGCCTCCCGGCAGTTAGATGCGAGACAACTACTGAGAAGGATCATGCTAGATCGTCTGGAAGAAGGCATGATCGACACCCTTACGCCTGAGTCTGATGTAAGTTCGGCATTTGGCCGCTGGGGGCTATTTGGGTTAGGTGCCGTCCGGTAGGCTTGTCTAGGTAGGTAGGTACAGACAGACAGGCGGGAAGGTCTAGAGGGTAGACTAGTTAACCATAGTGGCGGGACCCAATAAGCTATTGGATACCTACGGGGACCTGCCTGCCCGTCTGCTGGTCCTGCAGGTCTAAGTATCAGTTTCTTGTCAGCACTCTACTACCACTGGTGAACCAGCCACTCTAGGGGCTAGTCAACTCTACGTAGGCTAGACGTTAAAAGTAGCTACTCGAGTGAACACGAAACAAGCTATCCCGTCCCATTATGGTCGATTAAAAAACAAGCACAAGCTACGATCACGACTAAAATGGGAAATGAAGTGCTTAAAGACTCTTCGCTGCCGAAGCTTGTATTTGCTGTGTGGTTTCTTAATAGATATGTAACAGCTCATGATAGGCCTTTTTACCCATGACCTCTTCAACAAGCATTAGAAATACTAGGCTAATTTTTCGCTAAAATAGCCGTCTTTCTCTCCCATATACACCTATAGATAGTGACAATACCATTACTAATGATAATGATAGCAAAAGGACATCGAATTCCATAATCTGCTTATACGCCTGCCTGCCTCCTCCCAGCATCGTAATCCATCCCGGACAGTAGATAAAATCATTTTTTCTCACAGACGCCCAGGGTATTAAAAGTTGTAATGTGGGTATGTTGTGAGACCAGCCTGCTGATTGAAAGCTCGTTCTCGACGGGCCAATCGTACGTAAGACGAACAGTAATCCGAACCACCTCGCTGTCTGTCTCCATCTCTATTCTCTCCCCCTTCCATTCCTTCCGGTCTGCTCCCCTTGCCATCCCGGGGTATCAGTTATTTTGCTAATCCAAGCCCAACGCATTAACCGTGGTCATTACATTAAAAGAGAACAAAAACAAAGAACTTGGCTTGAGTACACCGCTGGCGAAAGGGGATTGCTAGCTGAAAAAAAGCAATCATTTGATGAGGTTGAATGCAAACGCTGCGAAAGTCTGATAACTCGATAAATGGGCATAATGATATTGGTACATGTGTAAATTCGACTTCGTGAATAATTCCTCCGGGAAAACCCGGGAGTGGTGCTTGATGGGTAAGCCGTCCCCGGGCTCATTTGAGACGTAGTTGGCCCTCCTGTGAGGAAAGACTATTTGTCCTGATGAAGTGGGTAGTCTAGGGGGGTTAGGTTCTGTGTGAACTGAATTTGTTTAGTCCTATGTTGGTTTTGGGGGGATCTTGACGAGTTGACTGACTCATTGGCGTCCCAGTCAAACTGTGTGTTCCCCATCGGATTGTGGACGTAGGAATTTTGCTCTGGAAGCCCCATCATGACTGGATATAGAGGTGTCGTGGGGCTCACCTCGTTCGTTTCGACGTAGCTTGGCACGTTTCGTACAGTGAGGTCGGGAAACTCGGTTTGGTAAGGGGTTAAAATTGGTTGATCCATAGACTGGAAATCAAAATTGTTGTTGAACGGTTGGGTATTGAAAGAGTGGCCGAAAGCGTTCAGAACCCCTGGAGTGCTTGGAGGTGTTTTCAAGTTGGCGTCGGCCTTGGCTTCATGGTATACGTTTGCAAGCATGAATGAAGTATCGTCAGAGCAATGCGATGACATCGTAGGGTCCTGAATAACCTGAGAGTCGATGACGGCAGGTGTCATGGGAGTAGGGGGGGCGGCTCCCGGGAAAGTTGCAGTCACCGCTCCCGCTGGAGAGTGAACATGGCAGCCGCGAATGGTTTCAGGGTTGCATCTATACATAGGAGATCGTGATCCCGAACCCGGTTTTTGAATTCTTCCAGACATACAGGCAGTTGAGGATATCCTTCGAACAGCTGCCGGGGCAGGACTTGAGGGGCCTACTCGCTTCGACCCATCTAAGGTGTTTCTGTATGCGCCGAAATTGTATGAGCGGCTCCTGTGAGCAGTGTTTGTCTGTAGCGTCGCTGGTCGCGGAATGTTTCGTCGGGAGGCGATATTAGCCGGAGGAGGTGGCGACTTGAAAGAGTCGGTAGGAGTCGGTATCCCTTGCTGTATCATTGTGCCCTCCTCACTGATGCTGCCACTTCCATGGGTTTCCAAAGGTGTCCCGTTTAGCTGGGTTGTGCTAAAAGTTGATTCCGATCGAAAGATAGGTGTCGAAAAGTTTCCGTCGATCATCGAGTACTGGCAACTCGTCTGTTCCCCTGTAAATTGGTCGTTCGGCGAGGGTATGCTGTTGGTTAGACCAGCCAACTGATCTTGGTCGAGATGCTCAGCATTTATGGGATTAAAACCCGCAACATCAGAGTGAGAAAAGTTCGAGCTGTGCTGGTCATGAAGGATAATCGGTGTGTTGTCGAAGTGGTACGGTTGTTGACAGTCTTCAGAAACGTCGACGTGGCCAGATCCTTCATGTCCAAAAGGGGAATCAGAGCCATCACAGTCAGGTTCGTCGTCGTCAGGCACCTCGTCGTCGGCGCCGCCATTAGCTACTTCCGAAGCCGAGTTCATATCAGGGAAAGTAGCAGACGAAGGCTGCGTATGCCGGCGGACACCGTCACCTGCAGGCTCTGATGACCCGCTTGATCCACCCTCCTCTGGAGAGGATGGTGAGGCGCTGGCTTTCTCTGCCTTCAGCTGCTCGTTATAATCGGACTGCTTCTTGTCCTGCTTGGCCTTTGCGCGGCGGTTTTGAAACCAATTCTCCAAGCAGACGTTAGCATTGCGATCGAGAAGACTAGGATGAGCTTCTTACATTGATTCGTGGTCGCTCTAGACCGAGGCTGTCCGCCAACGCAGCCTTTACGGAACTCGATGGCTTCGGGTTCTCCTGGAACACCTTTTCTAGCTTCTCTACTTCCTCCTTGGATAGTCGTGGTTTGGATTCCGTCCTTGGGTCAGCCGCTCCATTCCTTTCGAGAAGATGAGCGCGAGGAGACTGATAGCTGTACATATACGGATAATTAAAGTTGTGTTGCACACGGTATTGGTTGTTCATGTAATGTATGGGGTTGGGATAGTTGTAGACGGGAGCAAACCCCGGTTGGGTGTAGTTCATATTATCCATCTCGCCTGGTGTATGAGATCCAAGTTGGTTAACCGAATTAAAAGGTATATATATCATATAATCGTAGTTAGCGAGGGGTGCGACTATGCAGGCGATGCTTCGTAACTGATGTTGATATCTCTGGTACTGAAACAAGAAGACGAAAAGATGGTGAAATATTAATAGGTGAGGCTGTTTCCCGGAGGACGTGGGGACTTTAGTAAATATAAATATAAATATATGCTTTGACTCTTGGAGTCTGAATTTCTGGTTTGGTTTAAAGGAAAGACTGTGGGTCAGGTGTCTGGACGGAATAGCCCAAGATATTTCCGAAAGAATGAATGTGGTGGACTGAACTGAAGCCGAGCACAACAGATGGGGGAGGAGGGATATTAAGTTAGGTCGACGGGGTCGATGCGGTATAAGAGCAGGTTGTCGGTTTGAGAGGCCAGACGATAGAAGAACAGTATCCAAGCCAAAGTGAGACAGAGCTCACTTCAAACCCCCCAAAATTCTCTTGAGACCAAAGACAAGCAAGGTCAAGATGGAACAAAAAACAATACAGGAGTTGCTCGAGAGCGGGAAGGGAGGAGAGAGGGGGGCAAGCGTGTCGTCAAGTAGTCGTTGTAGGCTGTGGGCCGTGGGCCGTGGGTCTTGGGTCTTGGTTCTGCTCTCTGGACCTTGCACAACCAGCGAACCGGGAGGTGTGCAGGTACTTCCGCGGTACTACCACGAAATTGGGTGGAGGTGAGCGAGGGCGAGGATTCGAAAGGCTGGTAACACTTGGTCGGCGACAAGGGGTACTTCGAGGTACAACTAGTACCCTTAGTACCCTTAGTACTCCCTAGTACTTTCCACCCCCAGTAACCCAGTGAGATCAGGTATGCCCCCCCCTGGCCGCTAGTAGGGCAGGTGCTGCAAGTGCAAGTTGCAAGTACAGTGGATGTATGCGAATAGTGGTACGTACTTTCTCTTTTTGATCATAGATGATGTATGATCTATGTACCTACTCTTTTAATTAGGTTGTTTATTCACGAGGAAGGTAGATCTGTCTGTCCAGCGATTACCCGTACCGCAGGCGCGGTGCCCTTTTTCATTATGACCTGCCAGGGATTTGAGTTTATGAGTTTATGGTTTATGACTTTCACTGGCAGGCCTGACAGGCCTAGATTAGCTTTTTGGGTCGTGGCGGGCCCGGGCGGGTTGGTGCCGTTGGGGCCATGAACCATATGAACCATGATGGCTATGATGGCCACCGTCCCATCTCGTCCAGCTAAAGAACAGGCCACCCAAGACCACCCGCGTGCGCAGCAAATCACTAGGATGTCTCTTTCGTAAGAAAAGAGAGCGAGATACCTACCTAGAATAAATAGGTAAGGATAAAATTGACAGAAAATGAGGAGAGGACCCTTGGAAGACATCGGACGAAAGTGAGAGTGGATTTGGGGGGAGGGTCTTAGAGAGGGGGCCACTACTGTGCCTAAGCTAGCTGGCTCGCTGCTGCTGTTGCTGTTACTGCTGCGCGTCACTGGGGCCATTGGAGAACCAAATGGGTACGAAAATACCTACGTGTTGTACATTAGACGCGGATGCAGACGAAAGGTTCCCTCACCGATCATATCCTTCCCCCCCAGGTCCCAGGTGTGAGATCCTTACCTAGTAAAGATTCGAGGGCACGCCAGGCAGTGTTGCGGGAGGGAGATGTATGTCCACAGTACAGCGCGTCGCACGCAAGCTTGCGCATGTACATCGTGTTCCGAATACGTGTTGGAGGATGTCTTTTTTTTTTTTGGAGGTTCAATTGAATTCCGCCACACCAAAACGAGCCCGAGCACGCCGCATCCCCTGTCTTACGCTTCGATGTTCCCTGTCATTTTGGTACTTAGGTATCTTGACACGGGTACCTTAGATAGAAATTAGGGATCTCGTATGTCTATTCAATGTTGATAATACCGTTATATGTAAAAAGACTAAATTGTATGAACAAGCTTCAATGTTAAAAAAACGCATGGGACGATTCAAGCTTTCATGGTCTTACTTTGTAATGCGGGGACAAGGGGAAACTAGAAACTTTTGGCTAGGAGACTAAGGTAAGGTACAAGTTTGAAAGAGAAACTTTATGCCTCCCTCTAGATTACGAGCGACGAGTAGTAGGAGCAATCATACACTACTACGTCGAGGAAGGAGTGCACCACAAGCGCAGGAAAGGCAAGGAAACGGATAACCGAATTCTGGCCTGCATATAGAAAGGGGTACCTGCCTACCTAGAAAAGAAGAGGGCTGTTTTTAGCCAAGCCAAGCAAGGCAATTACCTTTTTTTTTTCCTTCCCCTTCGATTTTTAGTATTTGGTGTATTTTTACTTTTCTTTTTTTTTGACGCTTAGCGGGGCTTAAAAAAACAGTGCGAATTGATTTATAGTAATGTTGTTGTTCAAGTCTTGGCAAACCCGCCTATCCGCCCAAGTCGGCATAAGTGTCATATGAGTTCCATTCCATTTTTCTCTCTGGTCACTTAACTCCGTTGATCATGGCAGTAATCATGGTAGAGGATGATCGGCATACCTCGTGGAAACTCCTTTCAGATTATCTAGTGTAAGATGTGATGTTATGGATGATGGTCGCGGGCTAAAGTTAACAAACCTCTTATTACTAATGCCCTGTCAGATATAATAATACAATGCGCGACCAATCAATCATAATGAATGGATTTGGTTAGTATCAAGGGAACAATACCCGGCAACAAGGGAATAGCTAAGATATCGTTGGAATTACTATAGAACCACCAAGTTGGATGTTTCGTATCTCCTATTCTTGGCTTTTTAACCATTTAGAAGTAAGAAGCTGTTGAAGAACGTACCTAGGTTTTTTTTCCCTCTCTCCCCTATCTACTACGTAGAGCCGAGAGAGTCTCAAGCGAATTTACCTGTCTGAGACTTTCCCTTGTGTGGCAATCTGCAGAGGGAGATAGACTGAATATGCACTTTGTTCAAAAGAATCTCAAGTCATCATCCTTCGTTGTCGGCTTACTACTTGTATCCTTGAAATATCCAAGATAGCTTGGCAAGAACATGGGAGGTTACCATCTGGTTGACTATTAATGTGACATGTCGGGAATAGGGAACGGGGATCTAAGCAGTGATAGATCCATGGATGCATTTTGGTTGTCAAACTGACATAATACATCATAAGTTGTTGAGATTTCTCTTAACATAACTTACTATGTAAGTGATTGTGTAAGTGACAGTGTTCTGGCTGTCGTATACACTGTATGCAAGGAGGACAATGTTTTGTGGGGATTGTTCCCGGATTTGCTCAAGACCCCTGAGACCTTGACAAGCTTCTTATCTAAAAAGGAAATCTTCTAAGTCAAGTCACAAACAAGCCTTTCCTAAAAGAGATGCAAGATCCACTCCTCCAGGCCTTGTAGTTGCCAGGTACCCACGAGAAGAGCCAAGAGACCAGTCATGATCAGTCACTGATGAGCGGCATGGTATCCCCGGATCTTAGATACTTCCCTAAGTACCTAAGCAAGTACCTACCTACATGTAGTCATTTAGTTGAATGGTGTTTTTTTTTCCTTCTCTCCCTCCTCTCTTTTTCTTTTCGCTTAGCTCTCTAATTGGCTCGTACTTTGTGCTTCGCATTTCTTGGCCCTATCCTACCAAGTTGTCATCAACCCTGACAGACTTCGGAATATATTACTTCACCTACCGAGATGCAGTCGGGAGAATGATGTCGATGATCTAGTAACTTTTCGATGTGAAGATCAAGCGACCCAGCGCTTCATCCGATCAGACTCTATGTCCAGTCTTTTCTGTTCTCTGTTCTCTGTTCTCAAGTGATTTCTTGGGATGAGAGCGTTAGGCCGTATTACATGCAATCTTGGACTGCGCTGAGTAGATATAGCCGGTAACCTCAGAGACTTTTGGCACTACGCTGATAAGTAGGTAGTAAATACTGTCTCTTTAGCACATTTAAAGACCAATGTCGAGTCTCATCACCAGTTTCACTCTCTGATGAAACTTTTTTAACTATTGGAACTCCACCCATCTTGCTAGTCAAGCCTCTCCGGCCGCTTTCGGCCTCGCAATTTCAAAAGCCGCTATGAGGTAGCCTAGCCTCTGTCTACTGCATCATTCTCATGCACGTCTAGCATTGGGGCAAAAAAATGTCATCGTGTTAGAATCCGCGTTCCCGCGACGAAAAAGAAAGGAGAGGGCCAGCGTTTGACAGAGTGCCTGACTAAATATCGTAGATCATTCATGATAGGACAACTCATTCCCACCATCATGATACAAGGTGGTCTAACATGACAAAGAGCAAGTTTCGCTGACACGATAACTTAACTCGCCTTCGAGCTTACTGAGCAGCATCTCCTCCATATGCATCAATGCTTAGTTTAACCCGCCTAGTTCATAGATGCCAACATCTCGCAGGCTAGAGTTACATTGCTTTGAGCTAAATGAATGCTGTATGCCTGGAAGTTTTACGATTACTAGGTACGTATTCAGGATATATATATAATATGTATGGCTGCCAATCTTTCCGTCCCCCGTTATGTGCGAGCAGAAGCCGAAGCTGGGCAGCGGGCATTGATTGGTCCTCGATTAATGATATGTCCCTCAAGTTCCCGTCTGCCACTATGCACGCCATTTCGTACTCTATGAACGACCTAGTCCTGCCTGCAGTTCAAAGCCCGGCGGCTCGGTACCGATGGGAGAGGGCAGTTTATGGCGTGATAAGCGGCTTGAAACTGATTGACTTTTTCCCCCTTCGTTTTCTTCTTCATCTTAGCTTCCCGTTATGAACTTTAGAGTCTCTTTTCCCTTCCCCTTTTCTGTTGTGTTGTTGCTCGACTAAGCATCAGCGCACCAGTTGAGATAATCAGGGGCATAACTGTCCTTAGCAAGTTATTGCACTTAGGTGCTTGACAGCGAATATAAAGATGTACCTACCTACATATTGTATTCCTTAAATGTTTCTACTATTACTCCACAGTACGAATATTTCATTTTATTTCG